GTCTTTGCTGCTAAACCTGAAGCAGCATAGTGCTGGTATGAGTCGACAATGTAGTTGTTAGCTGGGTTGTAAAGCATGTTGAATCCAACACCACAGGCAAAACCAGAGATACAAGGACCTGCCCAACTCAATCTAGGGTAAGAAGTCCATGCGAAGCAGAAGAGACCAACTGGCACGGTCCAACATCCAATCATCATTGGAATCAATCTAAGCTCTGCTGGTGGCACCTCGCCACGGTCAATGTATTTCTGGGCACGTTTGTTGTAATCAGTGTTGAACAGTGGTGCAACGGCAGTTGCAACAATGACACCGATAGCGATTGGGATAAACATCAGACCAACGGTGGAATTTGAGTAGCCTTTACCGACACCAAAGACCTCAGGGTAAGCAAAGAAGAACATGTAAAGCAAGCCGTAGATGATGGACATGTAAATGGTGATCAGAAACACAATTGGCTCTTGTAGAAGAATCAGTGGTCTCAGCAGAGTAGAGTGTAACACCTCTTTGATGGAACGGATCTGCAATTCAGAGATGGCACGGTAGGTGGAGTCGCCAGTGATCTTTCTCAGCTTCTTAGCACGCTTTCTCAACAGCGTCTGATGGTGAGTCTCTGGAAGCGTGACGATGAGGACTGCGTAGACAACACCGGAGAAGATCAACAAAACCCAGTACAGCCATCTCCAGCCCGCGTTGTCGTAGATGAAACCACCAATCAGTGGACCAATGACAGGGCCAATGAACGGAGCCGCTGAGAAGATCGCCATCGCAACACCTCTTTCCTCTGTGCTCCACATCTCAGCCAAGTTACCGCCGATAAGACACATTGGGGCAGAGAAGAACAGCCCGTTCAGGAATCTACAGACCAGCAACGTCCCGATGTTCTGAGCAGCACCACATGGAATGATGAAGATCACCGCCAGGCCCAAGGTGACCACGTAAACAGGATATCTACCAATCTCCTCGCTGATTGGTGCAAAGATCAAGGGTCCGATACCGAAACCGATAACCATCAACGTAACCGCCAGGATGGAAACCTCCATGGAGACTCCAAACGTCTCCATGGGACCTTCCATACCACCTGTGACGATACCTGAGGCCAATGCGACGTCAAAGCACACAATACCCAGCAAGCTGGTCAGGTACCACTTCTTCAACTTCGAGTAATTTCTAGGGTCCACCTTGTCGTTCTCAACAAACTCGACGATTCTGACACCTGTGGTGGCGTCTGTTGGATACTGCCATTCATCTTCTGGGTTGAACGTACCGCCTGGCAGCGCGTGGGTGTGGACTCTTGAGATGTCGATACCTTCTTCCAGTGGACCCAAGCCACCGGCGTCCAGCTCCAATTCCTTCACCAGGTCGTCCACACCCTGGTTATTGGACACCAGCTTCTCCAGGTCCGGGTCGTCCCTGTTACCTATGTGCGAGAGTATCGTGTGGACTCTCGAGAGCTGTGTGTGAACCCTGGACAGGTTCTGTGCGTTGCTGTCGTTATCACCTACAAACGCCTGTGGCTCCTCATCGGTGAGTGAGGCAGAATCCCTAGGGGAGTTTGGTGAATTTACACTAGCTGAGGACATGATGCTGAAGTTCGTCTCAAGCAATGCTCTTCGTGTGTGAAATACTGTCTTGTTTAACCGAGAGTATCAACCTTTCTTCAAACAACGGGCAAAGGCACAGGCTGCCACTACAAAACGCAGGCTTCGCAGTCATATATATATACGTGAGCAGTGACCTTGTCCAATGGTCTGTGCCATCGCAAGCTGCACAGAGCATCCCTATGTGTCATCAGCTTCGGCCCAGCACCACCTTGTGAGCCGGTCGTGAATTGCTTTTAGCGCGAGGCTGTAGCAGGAGCGCTGCCCATGGCACCAGGAATCCGCAGTGCACAAGGGCTGTTTGTTTTCCTGTTGGGCCTATTCGCGGTGATGTTGCTATTGTTGCGCACAGGCGAGCTGTGCGGGCTGGGCTCGCTCTGCCCAGCGCGCGCTTTTAAAAACCCCTCTGGCGGTTCTGCCTGGAGGGACCGCCCAGCTCAGCCGTTTTGGACCGGGTAGGCTTTTTTCTCGTCCCAGCCTACGCGCGCACAGCCATGGAGACATAATAGCGTGCGCACTGGTGCACTTCCGTTGATCTCCACCGATCTCTTGCAATTCGTTCGCGTGCTGAGGTGCTTAAACCGTGGGCATTTTGCCCTGATTGCCCTCTTTGCCCTGCGAATTGGTGGTGTTCCACTCACAATTGCGCGATTTTGTCATGGCCTGCTCGTGGCGATTGTTCTGGTGCTTGGGCGTATTTTAATCGCCGACAGATACCTGAAAACTGCGCCCACCGCTGTCATTTTGAGTCACTTTTGCGGGCTTTTAAAAGAGAAGTGTGCTTTTGTGCGTGTGCGTGAGTGTATGTTTTCATTTTCGCCTTGTTTCTGGGCAATTGTGTGCGAGCGGCTCAAAGGGTCCCCGCCAATCTTGTTTTTTTCCATGTTTTTTCTGGAAACGGCCAACTCAAAACAAGCACTTTAGCACTGTCGGCTGTTGTTGGGATGGTCTGGCCGATTTCGCGGAGGTGTCTGGGTGTTTGCTTTCTTCAGGGCGTTGACCGTCAAGGGCCACACGGGTGGTGGCAGCCGTGTCATAGTGTGTAAACTCACTCATCGGTTCTGAGGGCCTCTGGGGAAGAGAGGCCCTCGGGCAGCGTGTTGGTGGTGAGCTGTGGTTGAATAGCGAGCCCACACAGTTCTGTGGAGTTGGCGTTCGATATGTAAGGGCTAGCCATGGGTGACGGGCCATGTGTCTAAACCTACCGTTAGGCGTTGCTTATCGGGTTTGTCGCTGTGACACGCTTCGAGGAGGGCAAATCTCCAGGCGTCTTCCAGAGCTCTGTTCGTCGTGGAAGCTTGTCAGTCAAGCAGGCAAGCAGTCAAGCAGACAAGCAGTGGTGTGTGGTCACGTGACAGCAGCCGGTTCTATGACGAGAAGATCCTGTTCGGGCACAGCACTGTGTGTTTCGCCAATCGCATCGCTATCCCTAAGCGCACTAAATCTACAATGCACACCACAGGCAGCTGTCACGGGGGACATCGGCCTCCCTGGCTCCTGCTTTCAACACCACAGAGTTCTGCCCCATAGGGACGCACACCAATGGTCTGAAACACAACCAGTGCTGCGACAAGAGGTACTGAGATCCTACAGTGCATCCCTCTTCTAACGGGTGTGCCCCTCCCGCTTCGCACCGCCCGCGGCGCTCGTAACCGGCCGCAGATGCAAAACATCCGCACACCACATCGTCAGATTGGAGAATATAAAGCCTGATAACATTCATTTTTCTCTCCATCTTCTTCCCACACTCCTCTCTCCTTTCCTTTCCTCAACCGTCCTTGTGCTCGGGAATTACGCATATCAGTGAAGACTTATGTCTGAGGTTGTGTATTTGCTGGTTGAAAATTTTTAACCACGACCGCTTCTTTCGAACCGCTGTGGAAGCCTGGCCAAGCTGACAGCTCCTGAGCTGTCAACTCTGGCTGGTTCCGTGTTCTTAAGGGAATTTTTGGAAACTCTTCTTTCGTGTCCGCTCTATGGCTGGTGTCATCTGACAGGCCAATTGGACGCAGTATATAAATTAGCAGACTGTACTATAAAAACTGGCGACTTTCCGGCCCCTGAGCAAGCAAATTTAGCAGCGAATTGTAGCGTGTGTGCGTGTGTTTTCCGTTGGTAGATTTTTTCAGCAGGTGAAATTTTTTTTATGCTGTGCTTTGTCACCCCCGAAAACCATCTCTCCAAGCAACAGGTGAAGAAACACCATAGAAGTAGAGAATTACTATGTTTAAGAAGTTGGTGTCCATGTCAATTCCTGTTCTACGTGTCCAGTGTACTAATATTCGTTGCTAGGTTCACCAAAGAGGACGTTCACACCCGTTCAAACCTCAAGTCATCAATCCAGAGAGGGTTGAAATCCAAGTTCGTCAGCCAATACCCGTTGACGGAGCCTGTGATTGACGACATCTTCCCAAAGAAGTCTCAGATAGAGCTGTTCAAGTGTGAGGATAAGATCCAGCTGTACGTTGTGGATAACGAGGTTGTGTGCTTCCAGCAGTTTGACGAGCTGATCCCGGCTTTGAAATTGGTGCATAAATATCCATCTCTGTTCCCAACGCTGACGGTGGACCGTGGTGCTATCAAGTTCGTGCTGAGTGGTGCCAACATCATGTGTCCCGGGCTGACCAGTCCAGGTGGTGAGCTGCCAGACGATTCCTTGCCTGAGAAGACCATAGTGGTGATCAATGCTGAAGGGAAGGAAAATGCGCTGGCTGTAGGGCAATTGATTATGAGTACAGACGATATAAAGACAAAGAACAAGGGTATCTGTATCGAATCCTGCTGTTATCTCGGTGATGGGCTATGGAATTTTAACGTGTAAATCTTGGGCTGAACACCATCCATATGAAGAACAGAGTCTCGTTTCGGTGTTTAACGGTTCGTCACTATCTGTCACCAACTCGAACTCGTTTAGCGAACGGTTTATAGCACGGCAAACGATGGATTTCAGCCGAAGTGTGTCACAGCTTGACGGTATCTTAAATTGGACGGTTTTGTTGCCGTGATGTATCTTCACATTGAACAAGTCCTCGTGCTTGGAACTTTCATTCGAATTATCTGTAGAACGGCCATACTTGGCACATAGTTCTTTCCATTTAGGATGAGATGTATGCCATTGTGATAACCACCAAAGCTCTGCGTTCTCTCTCTCCTTCTCTGTGATGTCATGTCCGTTGATTCTTTCCAGACTCGATATCCTGGATATTATCTCAAACTCTGCCTCTTCAATTGGGATCGATGCAAACAACGGGTTGTTGTTTATCCTCAGCCTTGTTAAGCGTGGGTAGTGTGTCGTAATGGAGTCGATTTCATCCCAATGGCTGATGTAGTTATGCCTTAGATCTAAGGCTTGTAAGCTGTGATGCACTGTCAACAGCGTCGTCAACGTTTCGATCTCATTGAAGCTCAAGTTCAAGCTCTTCACGGTATGCGACACTGATGGGATCTGGGTGATTCTGTTCATCGACAGATCCAAGCTACGAAGCGGCATCTGCCCAATCTCATCATTTACACTGGTCATCGCATTATCACACAGAACCAATTCCTCCAAGGTTGGTAAACACCGGTGGACTGACTTCAGGATACCGTCGCCTGGGTATGTCATTGTCATATTGAGACTCACAAGGGGCACTGTGCACATGGCTTCGCAAGGTTTGTCGTCAAACCTGTTCCCAGTGAGGTTCAGCTTCTGTATAGAGGGAAGGCACTCTATGAACGATAGCACGTTGGTGAACGATTGCAACAGGTTGAAGCTCAAGTCGAGCGACTCCAGCTTCGGCAGCTGAATAGCAGAATCCAACTCATAGACACACATTCTAGCCAGCGAAACCACCCTTAGCACGTCAAACTGCGACTGTAACTTATCGAACCCAACGATCTCAACTCGCTTCTTCCCGATCTTCATCTCTTCAACATTGGCGCTGTCGCCATATTGATACATCAGTGCGGTCGATAGCAGCCTCTTCTCGTCGACTCGACACTTTGAGAGCTTCAGAAAGGACCCGCTCTGGCGCCGTGTAACGTCAAACAACTTATCGCCATTGTATTCACCATCGTTCTTTCCAGCCCTCTCGTCCCACTCGACGCCAACAGCAGTATCATCTGGCCAACAGGGCAGCGAACCCAGGTACTTCACAGTACACAATTCGCCCTTGATCGACAGTCTCTGGTTCAGATGAATATCTCTGCCCATGGTGCTCTCCACGGTGCTCTCCACGGTGCTGTCCATGGTACTATGCTCCCTTCAGTGTAGGCTCTCCCTCTAGAACAGTGGAGTCCATTTCCGCCTAGCGAGATGATCTCCTGCCTAGCGAATATCCACGTCTCTGTTCAGAACCACCCCCCCCTCCCGCCTAGAGCCCCCAAGCTAAGCCCCCAGCACGGCCCCCAGCCTACACGAAAAGCTCTCCTTCTACGCAGCCCACGCGTCCAGCCCACGCGCCCTGCTTAGCCCCGCCTACACGGTCCCACCTGAAACAGCACAGTGGAAAAATGCAAAAAATTTTAGGCAGGGAGCCCGTTGCGAATCTCATTTTACACTGCTCAACGATACCGTCTCAATCGGCTCATTCATACTGTTTCAAATCAGGGAGAAGGTTGGTACCGTTGGTGGACGAACGAGTAGGCTGGAGTAGCTTGACGCTGGAACGATGAAAACACTGAACTTTAGGGCAATTGGTGAAACTGTCTACACCATTCTACCCTTTATTATCATCGCTCTACTATGGGACCACCATAACAAGATGCAAAACGATGACCACTATTACACACCAGATATACCAAATTCCGTGCAGAGTTCAGCGCCGGAATGGGACGGGCTGGACGTTGAGTTCTACGACTTGGCTCAGTTCGGGTCGTCTGCTCATGGCTGGCAGAACAACGAAAGAGTGCTGTTCCTGGTTCCCTTGAGAGATGCGTCTGCTCATCTGCCAATGTTCTTTGGACACCTCAGGAACATGACATATCCGCACCATTTGATAGATTTGGCGTTTCTGATCTCTGACACCACTGATAGTACGCTGGAGGACCTGGAGCATCACCTGGAAGAGGTGCAGTCTGCTCCCGGCCTGGCGTTTGGACGTGTTGAGATCTACGAGAAGGACTTTGGACAGATTGTCGGGCAGAGCTTCAGCGACCGTCACGGCTTTGAAGCACAGGGACCAAGACGTAAGAAGATGGCGATTGCAAGAAACTGGCTGCTGACCACTGCCTTGAAACCTGACCATTCTTGGGTGTATTGGAGGGACATTGACGTGGAAACTGCGCCTGCCACGATCCTCGAAGATTTGATGCACCATGACAAAGACGTCATAGTGCCAAACATCTGGAGACCTCTTCCAGAATGGTTGAACAACGAACAACCATACGATCTGAACTCGTGGCAAGAGAGTGAAGGAGGGATAGAGCTGGCAGAACGCCTGGATGAGGATGCGGTCATCGTGGAAGGGTATCCTGAATATGCCACTTGGAGACCACATCTGGCCTATCTCAGGGATCCAGACGGTGATCCAGAAGTTGAGATCGAGTTGGACGGTATCGGTGGTGTCTCCATATTGGCAAAGGCCTCTGTCTTCAGACACGGTGCGATGTTCCCTGCTTTTTCCTTTAAGAAGCACGCCGAGACCGAAGCCTTCGGTAAGCTGTGCAAGACCATGGGCTTCCAGGTTGTCGGATTGCCTCACTATGTCATTTGGCACATCTATGAACCTTCGACGGCTGATTTAAAACACATGGAGTGGATGGCAAGTGAAGAACTGAGACACCAGGAGATGCTCAAGAACAAGGAGGCCTTTGACAGAGCTTGGGAGTTTGCATTTGAAGATGTCAATGAAAAATGGCACCAGGAGAAGTTTGACATGTTCAAGAATAATGATCTTTCCAAATTGCAAATAGGCCGTGTACACTGGGACGAGGTGGACGAATACCTTGTTGAGATGTATGAAGATGAGTTCGATGAAGACGAAATAGACGGCAGTGAATTTCTCTTGGACTTTGACTTGAAGCAAAGTAAGGAGTTTGAGAAACAGGTGTTGAACCAGCTGAGCAGTATTCCAAGAACTTTTGGTCAGAGTAAGTACGAAATCATGTATGACGACTTCAACAACGCCGATGGTACAAACAAGCCCAAGAAGAAGATCTTTAAGAAGTTCAAAGACCCATACATTCCAGGTACAGACAATGAGAATGATCAAGTCAATGATGATGATAAAGATGAAGGCGAGGACTCTGGTACTTACGACTTGAACTCTGATAAAGTTGTTGACCAATCCAACTCGAGATCACCAAGAGCCAAGGATAGTGAGGCTGATTTGCACAAGGATAAGGAACTCTTCGATGCACTGGAGGAAGGTGCTGATGCCGATGCTGAAGATGAAGGTGAATTGGAATTTAAGGAACAAAGACCAATTGAAGAAGCTGTGAAGGCTCCTGCGAAGAAAACCTCCAAGGAGCCAACGAAGAGTAAAGTGAAGAAATCAAACCAACAGAGAACCATCCGTACTTTGTACGAGATTGATGAAGATGGCAATACAGTTGCAACGGTGTTACACACTATACGTCCAGCTGCCACGAAAACACCAGTTGATGTGAACAATTGAACAGTTTTAAATCTCAAGCGTTCCTCTGGGTTGAGTTGATAGAACGATAGTGCTAGCTTGATTACACAGTTTGTATTGGTTTGGCTCATGATGTATTGATGTTTATTATCTAACGTTAATGATCATTTCGTAATTATTTCATTCTGTAATACTAGTTTGGGGGGCTTTAATCGTTTATCTCATCTCTAATTTCATTCCATAGCCAACCTCTCCAGAGTTCACCTGCACTCTTTAGAACTTTGTTGAAATCGTTTGTTGAACTGTCCGAGGACAACTCCACTTGAGAATCTGAATGGAAAACACACGGTGGTAATCTATTCAAGAACTCTGCAATTTCCACTTGGTCCAACTCCAACAGTTTGCCTTCATTCCTCTGTAAAATTGCAACGTATACAAAGGTCATTTGTAGTTGGTAATCGATTTGACACCATTTCAACTCGTTTGCTTCTCCTGGCTTGTACCAAAAGATATCCGAACTCAAATCCACGTTCTTCGTGTCTATGAGATCCAAATCCACGTCGTATAACTTTTTGAATCTTTTCAACACCTTGGCACTATCATGGTACTCATCAGCAAATTGGTTGTAATGATATCTAAAGCCGAGTAAGAGATCCCACAATCTACCTCTATCAAATTTGTTCAATGCTTTTGCACCGCAGTATTTTAGCCACCAGGTGAGCCATTGGCTATGCTTGTTTGAGTTATTATTCAGCATGTCATCTTCCGATAACGATCTGTACAACTCTGGTAACAATTTGGCAAATGCCACCAGGAAAAATTGGACCCTTGTCTCGATCTTACCTGTTTTGAACAACAGCTCCTGTTGATTTAATGAGTTTGAGGAAATGAGATCTGTAATGGTCTTTGTAGGGTGGAGTTCCTCCAGAGTTTCTATGGAGCCTCTTCTAAGCTCAACTAATGGACCACCATCTTTCTCCTCCTTCGAGTGTAACAGCACAAGGACAAGCCTTTCATAAACTTCTGCAAAAGTCATGAGCTGTGCGTTTTCATCGAGTGTGCTCATTGAATGATGATCGAGTACAAATTCCTCCTCCGTAGCCAGAGTACCACTGTCTTCAGTGTACTCGTTCAACTGTGTCAGGTGTCTGTTCAACGGATCATTCTTGTTGATACAGTCTCTGCCAATCAACACATAGTTTGAATTTGGGATCGGTGGGAACCACTCAGCAAGGCCCAGTGCGATCCATGCGAAACCAGAGTCGTACTTCGTTATCGCTCCCCATTTGTTAAAGAACTTGTATATCGCAGCCTCCAATATACGCACAATTTCGTCCTCCACTGGCGAAGGGGAGTTGCCGTTGTTGTTATCCATGGAATTGGGAGAGCTCGAGCCAGAAGGAACGTTCTCCTCAGCTTTAGTCCTTACTCTAAAGTACTTCAGCAGTTCTCTTCTAATCTTCCCGTCCGCCGGCAGCTGTGCATCTTCATCGTTCTCAACGTTCGGGCTGATGAATGGGCTTATCACATACGGGTGGTACTTCAACAGCACTGGCCATACACGACGTCTGAGCGTTGGCGGCACACCGCGTTGTCTAGCAAGGAGCGCCAGCCCAGCGTGGTTATTCGTCTTCAGATAGTGTAAGCACAGCAGTATAACGTCTCTGTTACCAGACTCATCCTCGCTTCCGTGTCTTCTTCTCTTACCCGCGGCGCCACTTGCCGCCGTGTGTGTGTTGTTGTTGTTGTTGTTGTTGTTACCCGCTAGCGGCGTTGTAGGCCTCGAACTCCGTGTGGCTTGCTCTTGCTTACCGTCACTCGAAACCGAGGACGCAATGCTATCAGACTCTTCTCTGTACAGCGAATTCGCACCATTTGAGATGGTTGTCGTCAGCGTGGAAGTGCTCGACTGTGTAGGGTAGATCTCCATTGAATAAGCACCAATTTTATAATCTTGTGAGTGGTTCTCTAAAGGTCGTGTGGGCTCTTTCACTTGAAAATCCCCAACAATGATTTCTACTTCCTCTCAGACTGCTCCGTTCTCTCTCTGCTTGGAAAGCTTGTTGAAAACGGGTATCACAGAGTTTTTCCCTGGTGCTGTGAGCTTGGTTGGATCCACGGCCTGGATTTGCCTTCTTTTGCTTCAAACAGCTATGAGGTGAGAAGAATGATGGGTTTTATGGAACGAGAAACCCAGCGCATATAAAATCAAAATAGACAAATTTTTACCCGGTTTCCTGGTTTTTCCGCGTTTTTTCCCCCTTTTTTTTTTTTTTCTTTTTATTTCTGTTTTTCGTTCAATTTGTCGTTTGTTTTGTTTGTTTTGTTTGTCTTTCTTTGGCTTTGTGTTTTCGCATTTGCACAGGCTCAAGTTTTTCCGTCTCCCTGTGACCATCTTTTTTTTGGCTGGAGTGATCATCTAATCCTGCTAAAGTTGGAAATTATGGAGGAGCACTCAGACCTGTGTTAATGGGATGCTTCACCGGAATTCACCTCGTGTATTACGGGTTCTGATAACAATCCTCAATGTCACAGGAACAGTGGTATATTGCAATGTGTGTGTGTGTGTGTCCTTGCCTTATCTCACATGCAATTCCATAGACACATTGGCGCTGTGTTCCTGGTTGATTTCAGTATCACCAGTTTTCCCTTTGGGTCATTTGTTCCCTTTTTGCCTTTTGGCATGTTGGAATGAGCTCCGGCTCCCAGCACGCTAAATCCGGCGGTGTTAAGGCAGAGATGTCCCAGATGGCCTGAACCGTCGGCTCCAGGGGGGGCCAACGCGGGAGGGCTGCTTGGAGCTGGCGTGTGCGTTATAATATTATACTGGAATGATAAATAAAAACTATGGCCCCCCATGCCCATCAAAACGGTTGTATATCTTCTATTGCAAGACCAAATGAAGTACTGTAAATTGTACTCCACAATCAGCCGTGTAACCTGCTCTGGGTGGTTGGAATTTGAGAAAAAAAAGTTAAGTGCTTCCACTCAGAGTCGAACTGAGGATCGCTACATTACTAGTGTAGCGCCTTACCAACTTGGCCATAGAAGCTTCTTAACTGTTGATGAGGGCCTCACTGAAAGCCATATTTGCATTCACAAAAGAGTTTGATATTACTGAAATCTACTGTTTAATGTGAACCATGGTACTACTTTTCAATATGATCCATGAATCTACGTCTCATTCACGAATAAATGTGTTTGTTTGTATATATAACTTCTAGCATACATAGCTGTTGCCCTTTTTCCAACTTATCCTCCCATTTAGCACAGTTAGACCGAGAAATCTTCATCATCATCGTCATCATCAACAACAAAACTGTCAAGATCATCATCATCGGAGATATCAAAGGTATAGTTCTTCTTTTGTGCACCTCTCGAAGCCCTTGATCTCGAAGCAAGTGGAACAGTATCCTCTTCAGGTGAACCGCCAAGCATTTCAACGTCATCGTCATCATCATCGAGGACTCCACTATCGTCTTCATCATCACTGAGCACACTAGTTTTCTTCTTGCTTCTACCAGCTGTGGTTTTTTTAGGCGCAGCAGATTTGGCCTTTGCAGGCTTCTTAACAACCGTCTTGTTGATAATCTTCTTTCCAGTTTTTGGTTTTACAGGTTCAGCAACAGGTCCATCGTCGTCATCAATGTTGAAGACGCTCGTGTTCTGGTCTTCCCCGTGGTCACTATCCAGGGAGAAAACACTTTCCTTCTTTGGTGTTCCAAATATCGTGGAACCCTTACCGAAAAAAGTCTTGAACTCAGGTTCTTTCTTCGTCTCTTCCTCAACCTTGACCTCCTGTTTTACCTCTTCCTTTTTGACCTTTAATGAATCAAGAGTAGATTGTTTGGGGCCTGTAGATCTTTCTCTAGAAGCTGGCTCTTTCTTGACTTTCGGTGGGACATAATCAGGAATTGGGATCAATTCACCCTTAATGTTCGCAAACTTATCCTCGTCTTTCTTGCCCTTCTTGGTTTTCTTCTTAGGACCTGACCCCCAGTCATCATCGGCATCATTGGCTCTCTTTCGGGTATTCTTTTTCTTCTTACCGGTGACTAATTGTGTTCTCTTTGCTTCATCTTCAATGAGAAATTGTCTCCATGATGACAAGAAATCGTCCAGATCTTTGTTCCAAATATCCTTTGGCGTCAACTTCAAAAGCTCCGTAAGTTCATCCTCTTTGGTAGCCTTTTGATCAAGAATCTTTTGGTATCTCTCAAGTGTCAAAGACCAGATTGGCATACCCAACAAATAATCAAAGCTGGAAATAACGTTGTCTTGCTTATGTATGTTGGCATCCTCATCGTCAACTTCATCACTATCTTCATTCTCATCAACCTCCAACATTGACTCATCATGAGTGATATCATCGATATCAGTTTTGGTGTATACCGGGGTTCCGTTCTTGTCGAACTTTGGGAAATTCAATTTCTCCAATTCAGCAACTAAAATAGCTCTCTTCTTATTGTTCACAATGAGCTTACCGTCAATCACAAGCTTTAAGAAACGGGCTTGAGAACTCAACCTTGCTAGTTCGTTTTGCAAAACAGTAGCTAGATGATCTTTTCTCTTTTGGTAATACTCCAATCTAACCCAGTAGAAGTCTTGCATGATCTCCTCAACAGTCTCATACTTCTTGACTCTGTACTCCGGGTCAAACAACACCATGTTGGACAAGTTAATAATTGAGGAAAGCTTAAACTTTTCGTACAATCCGACTTTCTCTGCTTTAGCCATCTCCTCGTCACTCAAAGTAACGACAAACCTGATGTTCAACCCATGCTTCTCTTCAAAGTCTTTGATCCATGGTTTCACCTTTTCAGTACCAGCCAAACCTTGTAACAAGAACTCCTTCATGTTAGAGATCCACATCTTTGGAGGCAGCTCAGTAATGGCCAATGTGTTCGCGTTCAACTTCTCGATCTTACCAAACATTTTATATTTGCCTGGACCGATCTTCTGAACTTGACCATCCCAACCCTTATACCAAGGCTCCATTTCCTCCATTTCCAAACCTTCCATCAAACGACGAATATTAGCAACAATCTCTTGAGGGTTGAATTGTGGCACCAATGTGGAGTAACCAGTACCAATACCTTCAGCACCGTTAATCAAAACCATTGGAACAGTTGGTACATATGCCTCTGGTTCGACTGTTTGTCCATCATCTTCGTTATACTTCAACAAGGCATTATCATCTTTACTTAAGATCTTTGAAGTAATTGGGCTCAAAGCAGTGAAGATATAACGGGGAGCCGAAGCATCCTTACCACCGAGCAATCTCGTACCGAAAGCACCATTTGGTAACAACATATTAATATTGTTCGAACCCACAAAATCTTGGGCAAGACCAATAATCGTTTGGACCAAAGACTGTTCACCATGATGGTACGCAGTTTTTTCAGAAATGTAACCAGCTAATTGCGCAACCTTGATTTCATTCTTTAAGTTTCTCTTCAATGAACCATACATGATTTTTCTTTGACCTGGTTTCAAGCCATCCAAGACACTAGGAATAGATCTTTTCAAATCATAAATTGAGTGAAGGCGAAGGTCGTAATTTATGAACTGTGTAATACCGACTGTTTGCTGTTCATAACGATCCTCAACCTGCTCATCTTCTTTGAAATCACCAATCCACTCTTTTCTGGCATCAGCTTTACTCTTCGAGAAAGCCAAGTCGATAGAAACTTTATCCTCCTCTTGTAAAGCTTCAAATGTCTTCAAGTGTCTGTCCAAATCACTGAAATATTCACGGCCTTCTTCTTGGGTAGATGTACCCAAACCCTTGTAGTACTTGTGAGACCATGTATATTTGTGACTTTCTTTGTTCACCCAATCCTCGTACTGTATCATACTGTAAAATGACATTGTGTCCTTTCTTGGCTTCGTAATATTAACTTTCACAATCGGGGTGATGAACTCTAGCAAGAATCCAGGAATCTTAAGTAGTTCTGGCCATTGACTCTCAATGAAGTTGATCAGTAAACCCTTAATATGGGATCCATCCGTATCCTGATCCGTCATCAACATAACGCGACCATATCTCAAAGATTTTGTGTCTTCGTATCTCTTCTTATGCTGTAAACCGACAATCTGCTTGAGGGCGTTGATCTCTGCGTTGTTTGTGATTTGGGAAGCAGTTGCTTCTCTGACATTCAGAGGTTTACCACGCAATGGGAAACAACCATAGTAATCTCTTCCAACCACTGCCAACCCTGCAACAGCTAACGCCAAAGCGGAATCACCTTCGGTTAAGATCAAAGTACACTTATAACCTTCTTTTGTACCTGCCATATTGGCGTCATGAAGCTTAGGTAAATTTGTCAGTCTTGATTTTCTAGCACCATCAGTTCTCTTCAAAGCCCTATCTTCGTTAGCCTGGGCAGCATCCAAGATCTTTTCAATGAACTCAGTTTTCATGATCTGGTTGACAAAATCATCTGGAATTTTGCAATCAGAACCAAACTGCGGTTTTCTTGTACTCATCTGTTCTTTGGTTTGTGAAGTGAAAGCTGGATTCTCAATCAAACAATTGATAAACAAAAACATGTTGTTTCTAATTTGAAATGGTTTCACAGATGATTTTTTGTGTTTTTTCTTCAGAATTTCCTGTATCTTATCAATTATTTGATCAGCGATGTAGTTGACATGGGTACCACCGGATGTTGTTGCAATCGAATTAACAAAAGAGATTTGGTTAAAGCTTGAATCAGCAACGCCAAAGGCAATTTCCCAACGACCTTTAGCCTTTGGATCATCAATCTTCTTGTATATAATTGTTGGCTTTTTCTGAGCTTCAACTTCTGAGATTTGACCCTCAGCCAATTTCTTCTTGTCCAGTGCCTTGATATACATCTCCACGTATTCTTTGAAATTTCTGATCTTCAACTTGGTGCCGTTCAAGTACACACCGACATCTTTCACAGTACCTGCAAGATCATAAACACGACGGCGAAGGACACCCAAAATATCATCATCCAATTTCTCCATGTGAAACTTGGCCAAATCAGGCTTGAATGTAATCTTTGTGTATTCAACAGCCTTCTTAACGTCTTTGATCTTTGGTTTCCCAGCGACGGACATGTTGTTTTTCCATGTTTGCGAGTAGGTCTTTGATACGTTCTTATCAGCAGTTTCCACCGTGAACTCAGTGGAGAAGATGTTACACAACTTGGCACCATAACCGTTTCTACCACCTGTGACCTTCTTCTCATCGTCATCGTAGTTTGAAGAGGTCAACAAATTACCGAAGATCAACTCTGGGATCCACATTTTCTCCTTCTCGTGCATTTCGATGGGGATACCTCGTCCATCGTTCTTCACAGAGATGGTATTCTGCTCTGGATCGATAGTCACCTCGAGTTTCTTCATATTGGGGTCACGGATCTTGTTGTCGGCGGCATTGACCAAAATCTCATCAAAGATCTTGAAGAGACCTGGAACAATCTTCACCATCTTATCCTCCATACTCTCATCGGCCGCGTTGTAGATCCACATCTTCTGCTCCTGAGGCTCAGTAGACCCGATATACGTGTCGGGTCTCTTCAAGATGTGCTCCAACTGAGTGAGCTTCTGGTACTGCTCCGACGCGTTCTTCTTTGGTTTCATGACGTTAAGTGACACGTCCTTTAACGGTGGGCTCATTGGTGTACTAACTGTAGCGGCGATAGACCAACTTGTCCGTGTTGTTTTGAAACGGTGTAGCGTGTATTTGTTTACAAAACGCGTAGAAGCAAGAGGCAAAAAAAAAGGTCATTGCCGCCAAAAAAGAAGAACAAAAAGACGTGAAAGGATCGTTTGTTTACATTTGTTTCCCCAACCGTAGGTGTCAAGACATTTTACATCACCATGGCAACGATCTCCCCCCAAAAAGAGCATTTTACTACTCGGCACTGCCCCCACCAATTTTGCCAAAAAAAAGCTCTAACTTCTAACCCAACAAAGCCGTGGGGCAAACTCTGTTGATGGCCTGTTTGTGTCCTGTTCAACTTTTAAGAAGGAAGCAAACACAGGTTGAAAGTAATCACTTGAGGTTTCCTATTTCAATTGATCACAGTGGAGTTTGAAGTCTCTTTACACTCTGTCGTCGCTGTGCAATTGTTGTCTGTGTGTGTGTGTTCTTGCTTCTTCCAAACACACTTGCAAAAGCAGATTCTGAAGTATTGAAGAAAATGTCTAGCTCATCATCATCATCACCCCAACCTGTTGACAAGGAAGGGAATGTAATTCAGCGGTACCATGATCCAAGCTGGCTAAGACTGGTGGCTTTTGATATCCTGGCATGGCTGCTGTCTGTGACATTCAGTGGGTTCTTCAGGGAGATCAGACCAAGAGGAGCCTTTAGAATCCCCAAATCAGGGCCTGTGATCTTTGTCGCTGCCCCTCATGCCAACCAGTTTGTTGATGCCGGCTTGCTATTGGGCCAGGTTTTCAAAGAGGCCAACAGAAGAATCTCCTTCTTGATTGCTGACAAGTCGATGAGCGTTAAGGGTATCAGACAGATGGCTAACGTTACACTGTCAATTCCGGTTAAAAGAGCGCAAGATAACTTGAAGTCTGCTTCTGGTGAGATTACATTGGACAAGACAAACCCTTTGAAAGTGATCGGTTATGGTACAAAATTTACCAAAGAAGCCATGGTCAAGGGGCTCATTGGGCTGCCAAAGTCTAGGGGTAACACTGAAATTGCGGAGATTGTTAGTGACACTGAACTTATCCTCAAGAAGGAGTTCAAGAAGACTGCGACTGAGATCTTGCAAAATAAGACGCCTTACAAGTTGGCGGACAAGATCAACCAAAGAGAAGTGTACGAAAAGGTTTTTTCACACTTGGCACACGGTGAATGCATTGGTATTTTCCCAGAAGGTGGTTCTCATGACAGAACAGACTTGTTGCCCTTGAAAGCTGGTGTTGCCATCATGGCATTGGGTGCAATGCAACACAGCCCAGGTACTGATGTTAAGATCGTTCCTTGTGGTATGAATTACTTCCATCCACAGAAGTTTAGATCTCGTTGTGTCATTGAGTTCGGGCATCCAATCTCAATCTCAAGCGACTTGCTCGAGGAATATAACAATCCAGAGACTTCAAAGAAGGCTGTGGGTGATTTGTTGGCCACCATCGAACACGGTCTAAGAGCTGTCACGGTGACTTGTCCTGACTATGAAACTTTGATGGTTGTTCAAGCTGCTAGAAGATTGTACACAGACGGAAAGAATTTGCCTATTCCATTGGTTATCGAGTTGAATAGAAGATTGGTTGACGCTTATCAACACTTCAAGAATGAGCCGGACATCATTTCGCTTCGTGAAAAGATCTTCAGCTACAACGAAAAGTTGAAAGCAGTTCACTTACCAGATCACGCTGTGGAAACTGCCCAGGTTGATTTCATTAGAAATTTGGGCATTCTGATCCAAAGATCTTTAAAACTCATCTTTCTTTTCCTACTAGCACTCCCAGGTGCTGTTTTGTTTACCCCTGTGTTTATCATCGGTAAGCTGTACTCAAAGAAGGTTCAACGTGAGGCACTTGCATCGTCGTTGGTTAAAGTCAGAGCAAATGATGTTGTGGCAACATGGAAAATCTTGATCGCTATGGGTGTTGCTCCAGTCTTGTACATCTTTTACTCATGCGTCGGTCTTTATTGGTTCTGGGATACTTCTTATAACAAACTCCTTTTGTTCTTTGCCTTTTACATGGCTGGTGTCACTGTCACATGGTCTGCTTTGGCTTTTGGTGATACCGGTGTTGATTTGTACAAGTCTTTGAAACCTATTTACTTGACACTTGTTAGCCCAGATACCCTTCAAGATCTCAGATCTACCAGGGATGAGCTAAAGAAGGAAATCGTTGAGATTGTGAACAAGTACGGTCCTCAATTATATCCGGACTTTGACCATATGAAGCAAAATGGTATCGATGAAGCAATGGAAGATAAGAAGACCGAGGAGATGAGAAGAAGAAGACGTGAAAGAAGAAGAAGAAGACAAGGTAAAGTGGAAGAGGACGATACCTCTGATGCTGAATCCATCTCCAATGCATCCATTTTCGCCAGCTCTGATGCTGAAAGTGACACTTCTGAGACCTCATTGGAGTCACCAAGTATTGAATATGCATCTGGTGTATCTCACAAGGTTGTTGATGCCTTGAGAGAGAGAAGAACCTATGATGATGAATGAATATCACCAATGCATATGACCCTATTGATTTTTTTTTTTCAATTCTTTTCTTATTTCTTGTTAGCTATGGCTGCTGTATGCTACTGGAAGTTGATATTCAATTATGACGTTGTATAACTAAATCAGTGGAACACGTTCATCTATGAAATGTTAGTATATGTAAATCAGTTAATCCTCTAAGTTAAGCCAGTGATTCATCATTAAGTTGATATTCATTACGAAAAAAAAAATGCATATATTTACACAGCAGGTATCATTCAACCAATTCTCCAGGTCTTGCTTCATCCTTCGCATCCACCATCGAATCTCTTTCCTCATTGTTGAGGGCATCCAATTCAGCAGCCTCTTCTGCTGTCAATTTTTTGAAATCTGGTGGTATTTCGTTCATCTGAACACTTGGAGCACCATTCAAGTTTCTCAACTGTTCGAGGATCTTTATACGTACGTTATCCAAGTACTTCCTCGAGTTCTTGTTGTCCAATTTATCTCCTAGATTAGGATGCAAGGAACAGTCTGGATTGAAGAAATTCCTGAAGGGTAGTTCCATGGGTAACTTTGACTCCAACGTTACATCCGTCATGATACTAGTTTCGTAACACCACAATCTCGAGACGTTTCTTGGAGTATAGCCACCACCACCGACAACTAGCATTGGAATACCAAAACTTTTGATGAATTTGACACATTCACCATGGGCTCTTATATTCAAGTTGAAACAACCCAGCCTATCACCTCCCAAGGAATCTGCACCACACTGTTGTACAATCACCGTTGGTTTGAACGTTGTAATCACTGGGTCCATAACGCTTTTGAACAACCGTATATAACTGTCATCGTCTATCCCGTCGTTCAAGGGAACATTTATAGCGTAGTTTTTCCCTTTCCCTATCCCATTCTCATCCAAGTAGCCAGTACCTGGGAAGAAAAGTCCATTGTACTTGTGGAAGCTCACAGTCATCACCCTGTCGGTCGTGTTAAAGGCTTCTTGAACACCATCGCCGTGGTGTAAGTCGATGTCGATGTATAACACTCTTGGATGGTATCTCAAGAGATTCAATATTGATAGGACGATATCGTTGACGTAGCAGAACCCAGAGGGCTCGTACTTCTTCGCATGGTGAAGTCCACCAGACCAGTTGATCGCAATATCGCTTGCTCCGCTCAGTAGCTTCTCTGTGGCATCTAACGACGCACCAGCATATATCGAGCTGTAGTCGTACACACCGTCAAACACAGGACAGTCATCACCAATGTTGAACCTCTTCAGCTCGCTCGAAAACTTGTTCAGTGTCTCCGGCGTCACTCGCTGTAAGAAGTCGATGTAATCCTCAGAATGGAATTCCAGAATCTCCTCCTTCGTCGCAGCCCTGGGCGTGTACAGGTCCATCTTCTCGTAGAGCTTATACGCAATCACCAAATGGTCCGTGAGCATGAGTCTGAAGGGCTTCATCGGATGGCGTACTCCATAGTGGTACTGCGATACCGCTGGGTTATAGTGGTACGACACATGAGGTTGGTACGAAGCTCCAAAGTTCTGCTCGTACTTCGGTTGTAGTACTTCGGTTTTGAAGTCATTCGAGAACGTCTCTGTCATCGTGGGCCGCACTTTTTCGTCTATCAGCTCCCCTTGTTTTCTCTTCTTCTGCCGCCTTCGTCCTTTTTCCTTCGCTTGTTGTTGTTGATGATGCTGTCGATGTTGTTGTTGTTGTTGGTACTAAAAACCACAACAGGACACAAAAAAATCCAGTTCGCGAACTTTTGAAGTTTTCCCAGTGGCGAGGAACCCTCACCACAACAAACAACAGACAACAAACAGTAAACAGTGGGCGGTAAGCAAACACGCGTGGATACTGAAGAGCTTTGAAGTGAAGAACAATGTCAGGAGCAGCAGGGTTTGACCGTCACATCACCATCTTCTCGCCAGAAGGGCGTCTCTACCAAGTGGAGTATGCCTTCAAGGCCATCAACACTGCCAACATCAACGCCATGGGAGTCACTGGCAAGGACTGTGTGGTGATAATTTCACAGAAGAAGGTGCCAGATAAGCTGCTGGACCCATCCACGGTGTCGTATATGTTCCAGATCACGCCAAAGATCGGTATGGTTGCTACGGGGTCCATTGCGGATGCTAGAAGCCAGGCACTCAGGGCACGGGCTGAGGCTGCTGAGTTCAAATACCTCAACGGATATGAGATGCCTGTGGATGCATTGGCAAAGAGAATGGCAAACTTGTCACAGATCTATACACAGAGAGCATACATGAGACCCTTGGGAGTGGCTCTGACTTTCTGCTCGGTGGATGATGAATTTGGCCCAATGCTGTACAAGTGCGACCCAGCCGGCTACTACATTGGCTCAAAGGCCAACGCAACCGGCCCAAAACAACAGGAATTGACTACAGCTCTGGAGAAGAAGTACAAGAAGAAAGGTGTTGATGGCGATTGGCAAAAGGTTGTCGAGTTTGCCATCATTACACTGAGTAATACGCTGAACACAGAACTTAGAAAAAATGACATTGAAGTTGGTGTTGCCGTTGAGGGTAAGTTCTTCACGCTTACAACTGAGGAAATTGATGAAAGATTGGTGTCCATTGCAGAGCAAGATTGAATTCATGAATTAGATTGAACAATTGTTTTACATTTGTAGTGTGTATGTACTGGTTAACCCTTCAACTTGACGTATTTATCAGGGTGCATCCTTTTGATGTGCTGTTGACGATGTGTTGAAGCCTTTGGTCCTCGAAACTCTCTATCACAATGAAGACATTGTAATTCAATTCCAACGTCTTTAGAAGTTGTTCCTGCGTTGTGTGGCTTCCTCGATGAGGTCTTAGGCATTCCTCCACGAGGAGCTGATTGTCTCGTGCTAAAGGGCATAGACACTAGATCAATGTTCCTCAGCTTCAGTTGGTTAAAATAGTGTTCTTGCAGGCTCTTTAGGGAAACATCTTCCGTGGCGTGTTCTCGATTCGATTCTATCTCTTGTCTTCCCTGTGATAAAAGCTCTCTCATGGATTGTTTGGCTTTCATTGTCTTGGTTGGTGTGTAGTGGTAAGGGTCCACAGAGTAGCGAATGTCATGATTCGTGTGTATGAATCTCGGCTTTGAGCTTGACGCGGTTACTTCAACGGATTGTGCTGTTCCAGTGGGTACTTGTGCTCGTGGTTCATTAATACCGCGTTCATTAACACAACGTTCGTTAGCAACGGGTTCATTTCCAAACATTTGCAATTCAGACGGTAAGAAGCCCGAATATGGAGGTAGGACATATCCTTGAGGCAAGGCAAAGTCCTTATCCAAGTCCAACATCCACTCCTCGGGATCCACTTCTTCCTCGTCTTCAATCTCCTCCTCCTCTGAAAGATCCTCTTCTTCCTCGGTCCCTGGTTCGTACTCGGTGTCGTCATCATCGTCAAAGAGGTTAAAAAAGGGACCAGGAAGTGGGTCTGAAGGACCCAGTCTCATACCAGGTTGCGGTGGCTGCTGATGCTGCTGTCCTTGCACTTGTCTTTGTTCCTCTTGCTGTCTGAGGCTCTGTCTGGGTACATGTGGGCCATTTCTTCCTGATGAGCCACTTCTGGACTTCTTCTGGCAGTTGGCGCGTTCATCGTTACTCTCTGAAGGCCTCTTCTGTCCTGTTGGCTCATCTTCACCACCACCGCGTCGTACTCTCTCTCGACGCACATCAGACGTGTTTCCAGGGCTTATGGGCAAAATCCCATACTGGGAGATACCGGCCAACGAGTTGTAGTAGTTTGGCATGCCACCTTTGGTGCATTCTACGCATAGTAAAAGCACAAGAACGAGTGATGTGCCCTGTATACATAAAACACCCTGTTGTATGAACCATACGGGTGTCCGGGTGTTTTTCGCTTTTCGGGATGTTCCGATTTTCAGAACAAGGTTCTCCAGCAGAATCCCGAAAGGGAAATTGGATCCCGCGGATTTCTCGTGATGGCTTCAACAGCCTCTCCAAAGGCTTCGATGCTTCACCTTTAAAGTACCTGGGGCGCCAACTCCACCACAACAAAGGAATCGTCTCTGTGTCAGTGCATGTGACACACCTGCATAGAAGAGCCCATATTACATAACCAGAACACAGGGATCTTCTGTTGAACTTATCCGTAGGGTCAAGTCTCCTTTGCAGGTTGGTGACGGGGGGAAAGGGAGACAGCTTGAAGGGCCAAACACTTCACGGCCATGGCCCCTAAAAAGAAGAGGCAGTACAGTAGAAATGGCTGTAAGGAATGTAAGAGGAGGAAGCTGAAATGTGACGAGGGTAAGCCTGAGTGCTGGCAATGCTCACACCTCGGAAAGAGGTGTATCTATTTGAAAAGTATCAAGTTCTCTGACTCAAGGAACGTCACTGTTGAACGTCAGTCTCAGACCAGGACCCGGTACAACTTCATCAACTTTTCCCTACAGAAGACCGATGCATCACCAGCCAGTGAATCGCCGGAGCTATCAGTCTCCAGTGGTGGTGATGGCGGTGGTGGCCATGAGATTGCCTCACTATCGCCATATGTGCCACACATCTCACCCATTGAGGACAAAGATATCATAATTAATGAGGCCTCAACGCTGGCAAACACCATCATTGAGTCTCTGGATACTAATTTTGACGTATTCTCCATGGATTTCGGCATTTTCCCAGACTATGTGAAGAAGCAGGATATACTGAACTCGTTCGATCTACCACAACCTCATAAGACACATCTAGAGATATTTTACGATAAGATTTCAGCCCGGCTAATGCCACTAGAACAGGGCCTTTGCAATGAGATCTTGTTGACGAACGCTAGAAAGGCTCCCTACTTATTAGCTGCAATGCTGAGCCTGGCGACAACAGGAGATGAGAAGCTGAAATACATATCAACCTGCTTGAGCAATATCAGCAACGTTTTCCAAGATCACTCTAAAATCTTGAGCAACATCGAACCTTTGATACTGACGGTCCTTCTGCTAGCAGCTGATCCAACGTCTAATGATTGGAGAGCACATCTCCGGGGTGCTAAAGACCTCTTTGTCAAATATATCAAGTTCTATGCAACCCCTTCATTGCTGTTGGCTAAAAGCTGGTTTGCTGCGATTGAAATCCTTGCTGGATTACAAAACGCTGGTACTGGTAAAAGACATGAACTGAATAATCTACTGGATGTTGGACTGTACGGTTCCAACGGTGATTTGGCTGTTGAAGTTGGCATTTTACTTCCAAGTGGCTATAACCTATTTCTGGGTTATAGCACCGAAGCCATCATCATGTACAGAGAATTCATCAAATTGTCGCACATGGATAATGGAGACATATTGTTCCAAATGAGCCTTATACACAGTGCAAAGGAGTTCCAAGTGGCCAGCGATAACATCCTCATTCCACTAGATAATCCATCACATCCGGATTACTCTGGAAATGAACCAAAAAACATACTTCCCTGGAGCTGTTATGGATTCAAAGAGAACAAGGTTTATTCATGGTTTGATCTGATTCACCATCTACACGTCGATGCACTATTGCTGAAATTGTACAATGAGCATTTCTCCATGGATAAAACACATCCGCTATGTCAAAACCTCATGAAAGGTATGTTAAACATGTGCTTCTTCTACGACGATGCAACAAACGAAATTATAGATCCTCTTGATTCAAGGCTACTGATGTTACAAGGTCCTATGCTAAACTGTGGTTTGAACTGTGTTGATCAGGATGACAAAGACCTTGTGGAAGCTTACTTCAAAAGTCTGATCGACGCCGGAGTGCTGAGTGCCAACGCTACTTTCAACAAAGTCCGTTACGCTTGGACTGGAGTTGGTGTTGATAACATGGAACAACTGCCATTTGCCTGAAAGTAATTTGACTTTGATAAGCAACGTGTGTTTTAACGGCTATATATCTCACTGGAATTCTTTGATAAACACCTCAATGTCATTCCAAATTTTATCCCGTAATGATTCGGCATCATCTGCGAAAGCTTCTTCTAACTCTTGAGCAAGTTTCTCTTTATTCTTTTCATCCTTTATAATGGAGATGATATAATCTGAAAGCTCGTCCTCCTTGGTGCCTAGAATCTCCTCCATGTACTCGTCGAGTTTAGGCTTAAGTCGCTGCAAGAGAGAATCCAATTGATCATCATCAAGATCTTCAAGTGTTAAAGACTTTGAAATGTTCACTTTCAAAGGAATGTTAATAGTTGAAAGGAAGTTGTCAGCCTCTTTCGCTGCTTTGTTCTCGGTTAGTTCTTCTTCTCTATCTTTTTGGTCAGCTTCCATTTCTAACTTCTTATCCCTTCCAGATCTTCTAAATCTGCCATGTTCATACTCCGGTTTAAGGGTTTTATCAAGAGACTGTTCATAGTTTCTTAATTCTTCGAGTTCACGTAGAACATCCTTATTTCTTCTCTGAATGGACTCTACCGATCTCAACTTGTCCCTAAACTTTTTTAGCATATCAGCATTTTCCTTCTTTATTCTCAGTTCCTCATACTGTTCATCAGTCAGATCGTCGTCCTCCTCGTCTGATTCATCATCGTCGTCCTCAACCATACGGTCTGAATCGCTCTGGTATTTTTCAAAGAGCTTACGCAGCTGAGCTTTAGATCTCTTCTTCTCTTCAAGAACCTCCTTCTCCCTCTTCTTTCTTTCGTTTTCGAGCACCTTGAGTCTGAACTCCTTAATATCCTTGATTAGTTGTGGTAATGCATCCTGTGGCACACCTCTCAGTTCTTCCTCGTCAATGACATAATCAACAGTCTTTGCTGTTTTCTTCGCCTTGTTCTTCTCCAAGAGGCGGTCCACTTTCCTTTGTAAGGCCTCCTTGTCTATGGATATCTCATCATTGGGAACTGTATCCTCGATTAGTTGTCTAGTGTTCTTTTCCACCACAATCTTCAATTTGGACTGGTGGACTGCGATATCCAATTCGGTGAGCCTCTTCATTAGAAAAGCATTTTCTTTCACCTCTTTCTCCTTGAGTCTCACAAATAGTACCTTGGAATCACCTTCCTCTAGACAACTCCATTCATAGGGGTGTTCTCCAATCAGCTCGTTCAATAGCTGTTCAATAAGTGGATTTGCAAAGTCTTCGATGCCCAGAATACAAGCTTCGTTCAGCTGTTCTGTAAGTACATTAGGTTTGAACTCCTTCAAATCCTTAAACTTCTGTACCTCATACTGTTCAGCCTCTTCATTCTCCTCTTCTCCTGCTTCGTCGGCATCATTTGATAGAGAAGGGGCAGGTTTGTTGACTCGGTAAAGCCTCGAGCGGTACAATGGGACAGCACCAATGGCATTTGGTTTCGGCCGTGAAGGGTTGATATCCTTGAACTTGGTCAGCAACGCTGACACGCCATGGAATGGCGACGCAGTCACTGTAGGGACGTTGATTAGCGTGTTATCATCCATTTCCTGTGCAATGGGCGTCTATTGGATACAATTACTCCTTCGTACGCATTCAAAGTAAACAGAGAAGTAAAATTCCACACGAGAGTTTATTACCACACCCGGACACCGTCATCAGGAAACATCCCAACACCTCACATCCCAACATCCTAACACCTAACACCTCAACATCACCACATATCCACACAATATTGGTTCCATAGGCTCAGTGATACAGCGTAATATGTAACGGTACTATGGCGTGGTGGACTGTGTAGTTGATATTCCAGATGGTGTGTGACAGTGCTATAGTGTGTGGTTAATTGTAGCATCAAATGTGGAGTTGTATCCATTATCTGGTATGGTGCTTTGTGATGTGCCTTATGATGCCGAAAGTGTTTTGATGATCTTTACCCTTCGTATACGATATGAGCTGAATGGCCAAGTTTCTTGATTAGTTGATGATAAATAGGATCACGTATGCGACTTGATTTTTATGAGAATAAAGACAATGACGAGGGAACTGATTAGGGAGGAAAGCTTGAGGGTAATGAAGCTGATACTGATTACCATATTACTGATTCTTATCCCAATGAAGAGCTGTCAGCACCTTTTCAGCTGTCCTCCAGGATAGCACGCTGGTAGTTTTGCCATCCAATCCTTTGGTTTCAGTTATACTCTGTGGTTTTGATTCTATCGAACATGAAAGCGTTTCCTACAAAGAACAGCCGTGCAGTTGATTATAGATGAGCTATAAAGCACATTGAACACCATTTTGAACGAATCACTACCATACTGCTTTGCAAGAAGAGTTCTATGAAAGCTCAATTGTTGTCTTTTTTCATCGCTATATACTATACAATGTACCCATCTTTTCTTTGCGATGAGATCATTCACGGATGTCAAGAGCTGGACGCTTTGCAGTTCTCTTCTTGATGCCAGCAGCAGCTTGTCTTTCGAAAGAGCTGGCTTCCCTCAAGTCACGGCCTGCATTGTCGAGATCTTTAACCTTGTAAATACGCACCAGCCAGTTCTCTGATGTGAATGCCTCTTCGACAACGTTGAGTTCAGGCTCCTCTGAGATGACTTGACTACGGACTCTGTCCACTGCTGGTCTGCCACTTCTCATATGGACATCAACAAACCTGTGGTAGGACATCTTGTACAGTAAAGAGTCCTTCATTGTTTGCGTGGCTTCTCGACCAACCTTGTACTCTCCTCTCTCAGTGAAGAAGCTTCTCTCCTTCACCTCGTCGGGCCAAATACCTTGGGCAATACGGATCATCCATAAGAACTTATTCAAGTCATCACCGGAGAATCCAAGCATACCACCAAATATGATCAACACGTAATCAACATCGTGCTGCTTCAACACCTTGTAGGCAACCTCTTCATTGGAGCACATAGCCTTACCGACAGTAGCGATATGGGTGTTATTCCAAGTATTGTTGTCCACCAACGTTGTACGGTCTGCCATACCTCCAATTTGGTAGCCGTAATCCCACCAAGCTGCAACTTTGGCATCTTCTGGTGTGTTCATACGGAGCCAATAGTACGCCTCACGGTAGTCGTCGATCAATTGCTGAGAGCCGTCTGGGGCCTTTGTAGCCAAAACGACAGAAGGTGACGAATATGCATTGGATGTGACCCAAGTACAGTGGAAGACGAACAAATAGAGATAGAATACAAAGGTACCGACAACTGCAAACTTCGATAGGATGTCAAAGATGGACTTCTTGTCATCCTTTGGTTTCTCGGTCTTGTCCTCCTTGAGGTAATCAGAAAAGTCCAAGTACACGTCAAACAGTTTTGATACAGCAACTGCTGCAGAGACACAGATGATTGGAGTCAACGTCAACATGAGACGAACCATAACACCTGCAAAGTAGGAACAGAGCACGGAGTAAGCAATTACAAAGATGTGTTCATTACGGAGCTCTTGGAAGAGCAAGAAGATACCTGCTGGGAACAACCAGATCAAGAACTGTGTGTCAAAGAAGAAAGAAGGCCATGCTGTAGGCTGATGTTCTGAGACAGAAGCGATGATTGGGATGTGGATCTTTGCATAGTTTGTATCCCAGAGCGAGTAGAAACGACCAGTCCATGGTGCAATCAATCCGGCATATGTCAAGGAAACCAACCCTGCGATACCCAAGAGAATGATCAAGATGACCGAAACAAACAAGACGGATTTGAACTTGTTTGAAGGGACCTTTGAGCGGATGTATTCACCAAAGCATACGATTTGGATCAATCCAAAGACACCAAGTGCAGCCATGTGGTCGTTCGAACGGATAGGTAAGAATCCGACAAAAGGGATCTGCATCGAGGCCAGAGTACCGATTGCGTACCAGGTTGAGTAAGCGGTGTATAGCTTATGGCTATAACGTCCCATAAGTATGAGGATGAAGACGTGCAATGGGATCAAGTTTGTAATGAAGACGTAACCACCCCAGGCTGAGACCATGTAGAAATAGAAGCCTGCTGCCCAAGCTGCCCAAAACACAGAGCCCTCCTTTGAAGCCTTGATCCAGAAGTAGAACGTCGTCATCAGCAAGGTGATGGCGATGGCCTCGTTATCATAAGATCCGGCAACGGATCTTGAGATGTAACCAGGCGCAATGCCCATGAACGCAGCAGCCAATAACCCAGCAGACTTATCCTTAATCTCTGCGGTGAAGAGGTAGGTGAAGTATGCAGTGACACCTGAGAACGCTGGCGCAAGCATAACACAGATGTTTCTGATGTCCACTGGCAGCCCAATCTTTCTCAGCCCGTGCCATATGGAGCCGGCTGTCACCATCAGGCCTGGATACAACGTACCACCGGTAACTCTGCCCAATGGGTACCAGGTCTTGTCGTCAAACCAATTGAGAAACTCATAGTAGCTGTGAGACACCAGGTACTTCGTGGCCCTGAAGTTGAACCACGGGTCAAACTCGTGGATGATGGACTCGAACCGAACCACGGAGAACAGACGCGACGACACAGCAGCAGCAGCTATGGAAAAGAGAATCGTGACCCTCAACAGCAGTTTGATATTGGCCAGCGTGGCCTCCGAAACCTCAACCGACATTCTCGCAGTGGTGTGCTTTCTCTGCTCTTTGCAATGCAACAATACCAGGCGTGACGGGGTTGAATTGATGTCTTACAAGTGTGCCAAAGTCGAAGAAGAGACACCTGTTCTTCTGCTTGAACAAAACGGTTTGGGCTGCGGGCAACACCGGCGGCGCAAACCGGGGGTAGTGGTCACGTGACCGCTGTCCGTGCCCTCGGATTACCCCCTCCGTGTGTTTCCCCTATCGAAAAACCACCAATGTGTGGCGGGCTGTGTGTCGCCCGGGGCCGTGTGCAATTTCCTCTCCTGGAACGAAAAATTGTCGCTATCGCCCGCTTTTTTTTTTCAACGTCTTGTTTGGGTAACAAATCACACCGAGTGCCATTGCAACTTTCCCAAGTGGGCATTCTGTCCTGTTCATCCGATAGTGGGAAAGCATCAGAACCTGTGATACCTGGTGTATTTTAGCTGGGCAGTGGTGTGCGATACCAAAATCTGAGTATTGGAGGTTGGTTTTTGATTGGCAGACACATCACACGGAGCGTTCATTCGAGTCCTGTTGCACGTTGTAAGCTCATCCCTCTGGTCCCCCAGGAATTTTCGGTGTTTTCCATCAAGAGTCATCACTGAGTAGCGTTGCATAAAACGGGCCATGAGCCAGGACGATAAGAAGGCGGTGAAGGCACGGGAGGAAGGGCCTGTGCCGGAGGTGAGCCATGAGCAGCACGTCACGATAAAGGAGCCACCGCAACATGCGCATGTGTCAGTGTCGGCTGCTCACCACCTCTCGCAACCTGCTATCCAGAGGAAAGTGAGCGGTGGTGTCCTTGCAGCCGGGAGTGGAGACGCCGTTGTGGAAGATGGAGGCACCATCACGTTCCAGAAGAGGATTGTGCCGAAGCAGAGAACGCAGAGCGTTCAAAGCGTGCTGTCGAGTGTTTCACTGCGGAGCTTTGTTAACCAGCACAACCGTTCGCAGGTGCAGCTTCACCAGAGTGCACAGGTTGCTGGCAACAACGACAACGGCACAGCCAATAACAACAACAGCAGCGGCAGGAGTAACATCAACAGCGGCAACACTGTCAACGCTGCCAACGCTGCCAACGGCACACAGCCATCGCAGGAACAGTTCATCAGTGCTAAAACACATATACAGGCACCAGCCGCTGCTGCGTCTTCCAAGCGTAAAGCGTCCTTTGAAATTGGACAACGATTACCCTTCAACCAAGATGACGAGAGGTCTGTTGAAGAGTCCGCTGTTTCCAACTCTGGAGATGAAGGAGACAGCAGTGATAGCACAGAACAGAATAAGAACCTCACGGATGATGCCTTGAAGAAACTCAGCAACTTTGCCAAATTCCAACCGGCAGAGGTGGATATGAGTATGCGTACCACGACGGCTATTGAAGATTACATTCCACGGTATGAGCCAGCAGCAGCAGCACAACAACAGCAGCAGCAGCAGCAGCAGCAACAGCAGGATCAACAGCAGCCGGAGTTGCAACAACAGAGTGACCAGGATTCAACACACCCGCTGCTGTCGAGAAATAGCTCACAGATACAGCTGACGTTGCAACCGCAGCCACACAGAGTAGTGTCACAGTCAAGAGTTCATCAAATCAGTCAACCACACTCGCTGTCGCCTTCGATATCCCAGGACTCGAATCACAGCAGCAGACAGCAATCTGGTACACATGCACAACAGCTGCTGTTATCGCAAACGACATCTTCACAGGACCTACGCACATTCCAGCCATCACCAACTAGCTTTCTTGACAATGCAAATCTCAAGACCATAAACGATCCAAAAAGACCCATGTACGTTCCAGCGGTGCTCCGTCAATCCAATACTAATTTGAAGCCCGAGGATGTGAAGCATATAAACGAACAAAACTCTCGCAAGTCGAAGAACGTCATAGCAGACGCTGCTCACTCGTTGAAGTCGCAAACGTCGCATTGGAAGCTGGGCTTTGACAACAACAACAAGCTACCAACAAGGGCACATTGGCGTCGTGACGTTACGAGAAACTCGTGTGCTTATTGTGACGTTCAATTCACCTTCTTCGAAAGACGTCACCATTGCAGAAGATGCGGTGATATCTTTTGTGCACAGCATACTTCTCATCTCTTGAAGCTGGGACCAGATGCCCAGTTCACCCTGGGTGGGTCTGGTGTGCTATGCAAAGTGTGTGACAGATGTACAAAGGACTATGAGGATTTTTACAAGTCCAAATTTGGTGATAATTCACTTGCAAGGAAATCGAGTGTCATTGGTGTGGATGATAACACCAGACAGAATGGCAATACTGACAGTGTAAATGGTGGTGCTAATGGTGCTATAGTTGGTAGCGTTCCAGCAGATTGGAGCTGGAGCTCATTCTGATCAATCTGAGTAAAAAGGATGTTGAAAATGTGCTGTAACACAACAATGATAAAAAGGCAGAAAAGGACCGCTATATATGCAATTAATAACATGAAAATGCAGTGGAAGCCATGGATCTAGTAGTTGACCATTGTAGGTTGGTTGAGGGATGCGATGACTTGCTCAAAACCTGGTAAAATGGAAAACCATGATGACTAGTGAGATATTCCGGGGAGTTTAAGATGGACAACAGCTCGTAGAGCATATTCACTTCCGGATGTTATTATAGATATTAGGTTTCAGTTGTATTATATAACAGAGCTCGTGTCATTGAATATAAACACTCAATTATCATCTGTCTAATTCCCTTTTTGATTTTGATTTTAAAATAATATAGATAGGTCTATTTCTTATCAGAAAATTCAATACGCCATGTTTAAAGAATATGGTCCTTTATTTTACCCAATGTCTTTATCAGAAGCTCCTGTAACAATCATACTGCTCATCACAACTGAGCTAATCCAGGACATATCACCTCCCAATTGATGGAATAGTAAACATATTTCGAAAATATGCTTATTCAAAGTGATCTCCATAGCTTTCACGGGTGTTAGTATGGTTGGTGCCAGTTTAAACCCAAACACCAACAGCCCAGCCCGCGTAAGTTGATTCCTGTTGATGCCATCTACTCGTCCTGAATTGATGTTGAGAGAAGGCTATTTTGCGTTGAGAGACTAGAGATACCCACATGAAGGTCCATAATTCATATATAACGTAGATTTCATTGAAAGTAGGTGTGTCCAAGGTGATAGCGGGGGGTTGTGATGTCTTGATCAGCATTGGATGTATTTGCTGGCGTCAGTATTGGAAAATTAGGAAACCCTGCAAGAATATGGCGAACAAAACATGCCACCCTGTGTAACAATTCGTATAAGAAGCAAATGAGAACTTCCAATTGATACCAACTTGGAAGCACAATGTCGTTTCATTCGTTGTATTACATTGGCTGAAGCGTTTTATTGGAATCACCATAGAACTTTGCCGTTGGAGGCCGCGAAATCAACCATTGGGAAAACTACACCGGGGCCACTTTGACAAACTTGAGCCATGGACGATTCCATAGGAGATTGGCCATAAGTTTTATATGAAACTAGCTTGAAAATGTCAGATGATGAAAGGCAGGGCATAGACGAGCCAGCGGTTGAGGAGCCAGCGGTTGAGGAGCCAGCGGTTGAGGAGCCAGCGGTTGAGGAGCTGACTATAGAAGAAACTGCCATTGGAGAGACAAAGGTAGACAACAACACAGCAGATACAGCTGGCGGGAAGCGAACAGATGAGACACACGAGGATACAAATGTGGGAAACACTGTCAATGATGAACCAGAGAAAGACAATGACGACGATGACTTTGGATCATTCTCTGATGCATCCTTCGACGAATTTGAGGAACCCCCAGAGAACACGTCCGTACAGCAACCAGAATCCGAGAAGATAGCGTCTCTCCTACTATCGTCATATTCTGACAGGGATAAGTTGATCACTATAATAGATGAACTGACTCTGCAAACGTTTCCGGATCAACTGCCTACTTTTACTATACCAGAGGACACGTCAATACTGAATCCAAGGTCTCAGCATTTACTTGAAAGACTAATAGCACCACCTCATTTGAAGCCTTACAATTGGAAAACAGGGTCGTTGAGGAGACAGCTTCTGATGACACTTGGGCTTCCTGATGATACTATCCAGAAAAAAGAGAGGGAAAATGGATTCGACATGTCCACTTATGTCGTTAAGACCTTAGAGCAACTGCACATTGATGATGGCCAGAAGAAGAAAATGCTCGAGGAAACCAATACCAAATTTGCAGAGATTGGCAACGTTATTACAGCAGATGATCTCTTGGAAATGAATGATAAGGAATTGCAAATGGCCATAGAGAAACTGGAAATACAGGTCTCCATGGTGGAGAAATACTTGGCTGTTTGGGATGATGAAAAGACCAAATTAGAGGAGGATAGAAAGACATTTGAAAGCGTTGTCGAGAATTTAGTGGGCCATACCCAAAGGTTAAGACGTGAAGAGACAATGAAATCTTTAAAGAAGGAAAAGGAAAAGAGCAAACTGAACAGTTTATTCAAGTTAAAGAAGAACTAGGTAGAGGTCCAATGGATAAAGGAGAGATAAAAAAAGAAAACAGAAATCTATAGTAATCATCATCATTAAAAAAAGATAAACAAAATGTACAATATAAAACCAATCAAATGATTCAGTTGGCAAAGCTGCGAATATTTGGTTGGCTCTGTGACGAATCGTTGGATGTAACATCCCCCAAATACGTGTTGAAATTAGCCAATCCTTGGAATCCCATAGTGTTGTTGAAACTCTGAAAGTCAAATTCTGGCAAGTTCATATAAAACTCGTTATAGTGGTTGCTATCACTTGCCGTATCAGACCTGGATTCTTTCTCTGGAAACAACTCCGAAGGGTCAAAGTTAACTGCACTATTGGATGGAATGTTGTTTGTGAAAAGATAAAGATCCGGGAACTCCAAAACTTCTGTTGTTGGCACTTGAATGTTGCCTTGCGGAGGCATTGGTTGCTGTTGAACCTGAAGAGGAAGCGCAGGAGGAGCTCCAACGTTTAGGCCCACAGCTTCGCCTTGTTGCATGTTCATAACAGGGGTTCTCTGAGGCTGTTGTTGTTGAGGCGGTGTCTGATAAACAGCCGGAGATGGTGCAATATCATTAACGTATCTCTGTGGTGGTGGAACGTTCTGGGGAGGTACAGGAGCTTGGGGTAAAGCTTCTTCTGGAGCAGGCGTTGGAGCAGGCGTAGTACCAGCGTTGTTTTGTTGTACTTCATTCTTTCTGGCCAAACTCGACACTAGCTTCTCCCTAGCCTTTGGATCTTTGATAAACTTATCCAATTCATAACGGATTAGTGAGGCAACCATATGATTTCTTCCAACCTCATTGAGTGCATCATCGCAGATTGCAAATCCAATTTTTGCGCTTTTTGCGATAGCAGAGTTTTGCGAATCCATATGGCAGAGGAAAGTCATTGCAGCAATGAAGAATATTGGAATAGTCATTGCATGACAATACTTGATGTCACCAGATTTCAACAACTTCGAGACAATATCGGCAATGATTCTTGATGCTTTGAAAACAATGCCTTCAGATGGGTACTGCTTACCGTTAAGAGTGGCACTTCTCACCATTGTGGATCTGTGTGCCAAACACACAGCATAGTAATAATACAAGTTCAAAATACTCACTGGTAATGAATCGTGCTTTGTAGGAGAATATTGCAACGCCGGCGGAAGGTTATTTCTCCAGCTACTCATGATCATGTCGCAGTGTGTAATAACCAGTTGATCACGATGACGCTTGAACTTCTCTGCTCTGACACTGTATTGTTCTTGAAGTACAATTGACATAATCTCACTGAGCCTGATCATCTGAATAAACGCTTCGGCATCCTTTCTGGATAAATCAGGGGTAAAATCTTCCAGTTGAAGCATTGGAACATCACAGTCCTCTAACAAGATACTTCTTGGTCTTCCGAATGCAACTGAAACAGACATATCCTTGATGTACAAATCCCACCAGATGATTTTGCATATTCTAACTCTTTCCTCTGTATATTTTGACGCCCTTGCCAAATTTCTGTTAAAGCCGTAACCTTGGGCGACAATGATGGCAATTCTTGTCCAATAAAACGAGTTACCCAGGATATCATCCACACCTTCCCAAAATCTTGAAAACAATATCAAGGACTGTACCACTGCAACTTCGTCAGTCTCAAAATTTGCATCGTATAGTGCCTTTGCACGTTGATAAAAAGTTGCGCTGGCCAAATAGTTCGAGCCATCAGAGTCAAATATCAGAGGGTTTGTTGACATTCTAGATCCTGCCAAGAGCACGGACTGTAGCAATAGTAAGCTTACCGTGCCGTTCTGGTAGTCCTCCATAAAGATCTGCTTGTTGATGATTGGCTCCATTGGATAGATGTGTTCAAAGAACGAATTGATCAAGTCATCACACAAGTGCTTCTCCGGCAAGTGGAACGCACCTCTCAACCTTAGAATTTCCATCTGCACTGTGTCCAAGTTCAACCGCGTCTTCTCCATCGTGCTTCTCAACGAAGGGGGTATGAAATCACAAATCTTGAGATGTGGGTCCCTGTCCAAGTTATCCGTAAGCAACTTTGCCGTTGAAGAGCGTCCATGGTAGGAGAAAGTATTTGTGTTCTTCTTAACGAGTTTCTGCGAGTCGATCCTGGCGCTTCGTGCAGAGATGGCAGCCAAGGGTTCATTCCTCCTTTTACTGGACGACCCCGTTGTAGTATTTGAAGGCCCAGCTGTTGTAGAACCAGCCCCCACCAGCGGTGATGGTTTGACATTATTGCCATTGTTGTTGTTGTTGGCTGCTGCTGTTGCCGCCAACGACAACGAAGGGGACGAGTGTTCCAACTTGACACCAACTCCACCTCCAGGTACTGGTGCCTTTGAATCCTGGAGCTTTGCCGCTTCCAGCTTCCTCTTTTTACTAGCATTCTTCCTCTCCTTGCGCTCTGGGAATTTGCATTCACACCCAAAGGTCAAACAATTTGTGCAAGGAATATGAAGCGTAGCATCACAGCGCACTTTTCTCGAATGACAAACTTCACAAGCACGGGATGATCTGTTTCTCTTGAACTTGACGGAATGCTTCTTCTCCTTCTTCGCAGGAGTGTTGGACTCTTCTTTGTTGTCCATTAGATCCCTTCTTGGATGCTCGATTTCAAACTAAGCACAGAGTGTTATGTATCAAGACGGTTGAATCCTCAAGCAGCTGATTTTCCTCTTCGCGGTTGTGCATCAAACAGAGAATCAAAACAAGGAAGAAAACACACACACCCAAATCACAAAATTTCGAAACAAGAGAGAACTTGGGGTGTACTGGCCGTAATGTTTCCTACCAGGGCCCTTTTTACTTGTTTTAGTCTCTTACTGCGTGAGGGGGAAGGGGTAAAACACAGCTGAAAACGAAGACAAAGCAGAACAGCAGAAAAATATTCAAAATTACGTATTTCCGCAAGGTTTTCGGACAAGCACAAAAAGAAAAACAAACAGAAAAACAGCAAATGCTCGCTTTAGCTTCTTTTTAGTGTCTGTATTGCTTATTAATCGCTTCAATGCAGTTGTGATTATTTTTTCCTGAGGGTTTTACCTGTAATCACGAATCGTTAGACTTGAACGGTAGTCTCCCCTAATTCTTTTGCTTTCGTTCTCTTTTGCCTTCTCTCGATCTCAGCACCTCGTTAGGTGAGGCATAAACTGTGTGCTTCCTACTGGTTTATATTTCCAGTTCAACCGCGGCTCTGGGAGGGGACGGTCATCGACACACTCAAAATTATAAATGCGCAACGAAATGCACAGAGGCCTCTGTTGTTTGCGGGAACTATGGAGAGCCCACTAAATGCATATGGGAAAGGACCCACAGTTGGAGGCCCAAAGAGTCGTATTAGCTTCAAGGTGGTGAATCCTTGAAAACGCACACGCACCCGCACATATATACACTCTGTATCCCTCTCCAATGCGCTGTTATTCCGTCTTTCGCCATCACTATGGGCTGGGAAAAATACAGAAACTTCAGCTTTACGTGCGATCTACTCACAGTTAAGGCATTGCTTCTAAAGTCCACCCAACACACAGCAAACACCTATCGAATTGAAATTAGTGATCTGCTAACGCACGAGCTCACAGATGCTTTGTGCCAATTGTGATGTATTTGTCCCTTCGCCCAGATATTTGAGCAGTTCAAGAGAAGAAAAGGTGGGGATCCTCGCTAAAGCCCTCCTGGGTTTAATCGTGTTTGACAGATATCCGGAGAGCTACGGACGTGACATATTGAAAATGACATCGGACATCCAAACACCCACCACCACAGGAGAGGATGCCCGTCAGGAGATTCTGGCGATAACACGGTCGGGAGTTTGCATTGGGACCTGTCTCGAACCCGTTGGCCTTTTGTGATTGTCCATATGATGACTTCGATCCGGCTTTAGTCTCCATAATGGCCGTGCCCTTTGAGCGTGATATACGGGAACATTTCGATCACACACTTCGGGCCAGCTTCAAAAACCCGATTGGCTAGACCAGAGAATTTGTTAGACGACACACCGATACGCTGGTGTAGAGGTGTGATGCTGAGATTGGAAATGACCACAGTTTTTTGTGATAGTCAGCGGGCTAAGAAAAGTGGATCACATTTTTGTAGTGGTCCAACGTTAGACGGTGTCAAAACTCTGTAAGCCATTTCAAAGATGGGGGACATAACATGGAGAGAGATCATAGCATGTGGCGCTTCACTAACAGCTGTTGTATTCTCGCTTAAGTTGTTGTATTCGTCAAGTGAAACACTGACAGAGCTATCACCTCCGGAGATTGGAGTGGAGGGCCTCATCGGCAATACCCCAATGATGAAGGTGAAATCCTTGTCAAAGATCACTGGCAATAACGTGTATGCCAAGTTGGAATTCATGAACCCAGGTGGCTCTGCGAAGGACCGTGTTGCACTTGCAATCATCAGAGATGAAGAAAGAAAGGGTCATTTGAAGCCAGGTGATGTGATATTTGAGGGAACATCCGGGTCAACAGGTATCAGTATAGCCACTGTCGCCAACTCACTTGGGTATAAGACTGAGATTCATTTACCAGATGACACATCACCGGATAAACTGGCACTCTTTGACACTTTAGGTGCTGGACTCGTTAAAGTGAAGCCAGCTTCGATAGTGGATCCTGACCAGTACGTCAACTCTGCCAAAAAGGCTGCAGACAAGTTGAACAGTTCAGACTCCGAAAAGAATGGTGTTTTTGCAGATCAGTTCGAAAACGACTCCAACTGGAGAGTGCATTTCAACACCACCGGCCCTGAAATCTATAGACAACTACAAGGTAAGGTTGACTATTTCATTGCTGGTTGCGGTACAGGTGGTACCATTGCCGGTGTTTCGAAGTATCTCAAGTCAAAATTATCTAATGTGACAACGATATTGGCAGATCCACAGGGAAGTGGATTCTTCAATAGAGTCAAATACGGTGTCATGTATACAAATGAGGAGAAAGAAGGAACGAGAAGAAGACACCAAGTTGACACTTTGGTTGAGGGAATTGGGCTCAATAGAATAACTCACAACTTCAGCATTGGTGAGGACTATATAGACGACTCCATAAAAGTCACAGATGAACAGGCATTGCAGATGGCCAAGTTTCTGAGTGTTAACGATGGTTTATTCATCGGATCTTCGACGGCGATCAACGCAGTTGCTGTGGTGAAGTTATGTAAAGAAACAGGGATAAAGAACAAAAATATAGTCATTGTCGCCTGTGATTCTGGTACAAGACATCTACAAAAATTCTGGAAATATGCTGTTGAAGTACCTAACGAGATAACTGTTGATGACATCGTGTCGTGAGCAAGGCGTTCACTCCATAACGAACAAATTTTGGCATCATAATGTACCCACGGATAAATTGTGGGTGGGATCGTATGATTATTTTATATAGAAGATCAAACACATATACTCATTCCAAACCTTTAGATATAATTGTAATGCTGAACGTGTATTGTCTCTTTTTTTCGTTCCTCCATGTGCTTTATACCGTTTCTGGACGTTTTCGCAAAATCTTTCGCCGAACCCCCCGTTTGTGCATTTGCGCAATTTTTGATACGCGTTACCAACGTTTCTTTTGTCAGAGCACTGAATGCATGGGATTTCGAGAGGTTTCAGCAATAGATCTGGGAATAGAGAATTACACTGTTGTAACTCATAATTCAAACTTTGCCTTGAACTTATAAGGAAGAGATGGATACAGAACACCGGTACACGTTGTAATATGTATTCCCATAACAAAAGAGAATGTTGATATGTAGTGGTTAGTATAAATAGCGAATCTGTAGTCGATCTGCCGCTCCTACGTAAACGGCATAGAGGGATCGTCGATACGGACAACTGAAACGTTACCACACGTTAGCCTCAAAGACCAAGAGCTACCTGAACTTGCAAAAGGAACAGGATTGTACAGTTCACTGTAGAAATTAAGGGGTGGTATGTGAATACAATGACAATGACACACGCTGTGATTCAGAGAAGCGGAATGTGGAACCCTACGCTCGGCATGTAATCGTTCTAACCCTTTGAAATCGCTCAGCTGCTTCACTGTAACACGCTGAACCCCATAGCTTATCACAATTACCTATTTATGTTTAGACTCATAGACATTGGTGTTCATTAGCCTAATCACTATCACCAGTAGCAACAGAATGAAAAGAAAAAGTCTAGACGCTAACAGTTCGTGACGATATGCACATGGAGTCCCCGATGCGGAAAAAATTGCAGCTTGTGTCTACAGAATGTCGCAGGTACCGCGTCTATTTTGAGAAAAAAACACATCTCAATTAGGACATCAGTGGAGCTTTTTGGCGAAATTTTCACATCAAACACAACTTTTCGCCTTTCTTTCCACATTTTCATGCTTTTTTTTGAGTGGGCCACGATCATGTATGTTTTTTTTTTGCAAGGCCAAAGGGGCACCAAAAAAGATCCTGATCATGAGAAAATCCAAAAACCCCAAATACTCACACTTTTCATCGCTTCCACAACAACAACAAACAGCAACTTCTTTCTATTTTACGGGAAGAGACACAAGTCAAGTTCAGAGAAGCCTGATTAACGTGCAGTTTTGAGTAGGACAGTCACTCTTTTATTTTAGCATATCTCCACTCCAACTCATCATTGTACCTGCTGTTTCTTTCACAGAAGGCTCAGTCACGTTTCAGAGTTTTTGTTTCAGCTTGGAGGGAACCACATAGCTTCAACAATACCTGATATCCACATCGACTAGAAACAACAAGAGCTATACCAAAGAAGAAGAGGAGGAGAAAGAAACGAAAACACCTTAACCTTTTCTTACGACTGTTCCTAAGCGTGGTTTATTAGCTCGTTCATCTTTCGTTTCCTTCGTTAATACCTTCCACCTGCTTACCATCTCAGTATGAGGATCTTACAAGTCATTGCCATGGCCGAGCTTGCTATGGCGCTTCCTTTGAACTTTGGACTCAATCAGCTACTTGGAAGACGAGACGTCGGAAACAGTACGACATCACAAGCCTTTGGACCACAACAAAGTGTGGTGGAACCTACAATTTCGATTTTGCCCAGTACAACAACGACATCGAGCTCTGTGACAAGGTTAGACTCTGCTGATCAAGCAGAGGATGCAGAGACGTTGGAGTACACTCGGAACTATGGGGATGATACCACAGATACTACATCGTCCACAACCACAACTGCTGCATTACTGGATGGTACTACTAGTGCAAGATCTACTCAGGTAACTACTCAGAGTACTTCCAGCAAGAACATATGGAACCCATTTGGTGCCAGAACGACAAGTACCACCTCAGATGATACCACAACTGATGAAACAGGCTCTCCTAATACTTTGTCTTCTGATACTACACTTGCAGACTACACGAGCTCGACAAGTAGGGCTGCCGCTGCAAGAACTACTCGTGCTACTACTCAAACTACAAACACAGATACCCAGAAGATCACATCGACTGCTGCTGATGATGATTCAGACGCAGTGGTAGACACAACCAGTTCTAGTACCGGGGAGGCAGCTACTGAGGATACCTCTAGCACAATTTCATCTATTACAGATGCCACTGAAGTAACTACAGCCTCAGAAGATACAGGCATTGGAGGCCTAACTGATGAGACTGCGGCTACAGCTACACAATCAACCACTTTAGAGACAGATTCCACTGCTGATATTGACACTTCTGACTTTGCCTATGCAAATGGTTTCAACTCAGAATATTCAACCAATACAGTGATTGTGCAATCCGGTTCCTTTATTTCTGGTGATAGAGATGGCTCTGGAACACAAACAGTTGATACAGATGCGACAACAACCACTGATAATACAATTGCTGATTTATCCACCGCAACTTCAGGTACCCAATTGTTGGGTACAACCATTGCTGGTAAGCTCACATCCCTTATTACTTCAACAACCGTTGTTGAACCAACAAGTTCGATCATTGAATTGGATTCCTCTGACAATACTTTAACTACAGAGCCGGTTACGAGCAGTCCTCCTGCAGCAACTGGTACTGAGACAACTGGTACTGAGATAACTAGTACTGGAACAACTAGTACTGAAACAACTGGTACTGAAACAACTGGTACTGAGACAACTGGTACTGATATTCCTTTACAAGTTGCGTCTTCTGGGGGTTCTTTAGGTGATCTTACACAAACTTCTACCATCTTAACACCGCCAATTTATTCAGCAATTGACACCAATACCGATGTTGACATTTCGCTATCAACTACTCCAGAAGCGACCACTACTGCTCCAACAACCACTACTACTCCCACCACCACTACTACTCCAACCACCACTACCACTCCAGAAGAGATCACAACAACCCCAGAAATTGTGACTCCAACTTCAGGTACTGATATTTGGAGCACTGAAACCGAGTCCACGGGCCTATCATCTGTTTATGCAGACACAACAACATCTGCGACAGATTCCTCTATCGTGGGACCTCAAACTACATCTATACCGGTGCTCTCCTCTTTAGGGGATGACACTTCCACTACTGAAACCAGCACTCCTCAAATAACTGCTGTAACATCGTCCTTGTCTGTTGTTGAACCAACAACAACAGAGGGATTCTCATCCGATGTTTATTCTGTGCCTGAGTCTACAGATGCAGTCCAAGTGTCGTCATCAGCACCTGTTGATACACTTACTACCAACGATGGGTTGGTGTCTTCCACGGTGGAGTCAGAAGCTTCCATCGCTACCCCAGATGCGACTATTGAAACTTCTCTTGAGAGTACCACTGATACGGTGCCAGTCCCATCTGATGTTTCAAGTTCTGTTGGACAAACATCTGAAACCTCAGTTACTGAGGGTGTTTCCACCGTACCAGAAGTCACAGAGTCCACTTCATCTTCTGTCCAAGAAGTTGTATCAGTTTCCTCAGAGCAAGCTAGTCAGAAGTCTACCACTGTTGTGGAGCCTGCTCCTACCGGGGAATCCACAAGTGTCGAAGACTCTACATTCACTGAGGTATCTACATCTTCTGCTAAACCATCACAGAACTTTGATTACACTTCAGATAGTGATTTGACATCTGTCACTACAGAACCCGCTTTGACACCTACACCTGTGACACTGGAAGGTCCATCGTCGTCGGATGAGATTGGTGCCATTCCAGCGTTGACCTCATCGAGTTCAAGCACTACAACTAATTGGCTGCCAACAACATTGATTACAGAAGCTGCCACTGCCACTGCTTCTCTCACTGAAACTGCATCCATCGCCGCTGAGACATCAGGCTTACCAAAGGCTATTGCTCCTGAAGCATCTCAAGATGTACCAACAAACTACACATTGATAACGATTGGATTTAAGCAATCGTTGAATTATGCTTTTGTTGTCAAGAATTCTCTTTCGAGTGCTCAAATCTTCCAATATTTGCCAGAAGTACTTGAAAGTCCATACGGCTTTGCAGACTCCAATAACATTAGCGTTGCTCAACTTGTGCCATTCTCATCCACAGACGTTGATTATATCATAACTGTTGCTAAAGTATATTTCCCAGCAGATGATGTATCAGATTTGCAAGCAAAGGTCATTGATACAAACTCTGTGCTGTATCAGCAGGAGGATGAGACCATTAGAGAGTTCTCCACTTTAATCGATCCTTCTATTCCATTGACAGGGTTATTAGACGTGTTGAACGCTGCCAGTACTTCATCTAGTGATGATTCCTCTTCGCAAGAAACTTACAATACTTTCCGCAACGGTGGAGCTATGGAGTACTCGAACCAAGCTTCGGGAAACAGTTCAAATGAGAACTCTGGTGGCAAAATTGCTGGTATCACTATTGGTTCTGTTGTTGGTGCCACCAGTGCTATTGCTCTTGTTCTTCTCGGTGCTCGTGCTTTTGTTGTTAAGAAGCGTATCCAGTTAGAGAGTGCACGGAGCTCTGCAGTTTTCCAGTTGTCCAGCGACCCATCTTTCGAATCTCTGGGTACCGTTGCTTATGGAGCTGGAACCAGAGTTGCTGCATCTGTCAACAGCTCAAATACTTCGAGTCATGATTCAAGACAAGAGATGACACAGTCCAACTCTTTTGTTCCAAGTTCATCAAGATCAAGGCTTTCCATTTCTAGTCCTGTCGCAGCACAAAATTCTCTTGGATGGAGCTGAGACATTCTATACAACAAACCGTCAAGCTTGAAGAGACTAATCTCATGGTTAGCTCTTGTCTCCCCTCAGTTTCAGTGTGTCGTTATGCATTGAACGTATACCTTTATGCATTGTTCTATGGAAAACTTTCCCTCTCGATATGGGACTTGTTTTGCTGCAATTTCTGTGATTATATATCCCTTTGGCTTTTGAATCCATACTGGATTAAACTATACCCCCCGTAATTGGGTCTTTTTGATTGAATAGCTTGCTTTGCTAGCGTCTTGAATGCTTTTTTCTTTCCTCATTATGGGTTTTTATTTCTATTTCTTGGTTTTATTGTATATTTGTTTTAATCGTATATTTCATTTGAAAATACTTGATCTGGGTAATTAATCAAAGAAGTCATCGTCGTCGTCATCGTCATTGTTTGATCTGAGTGATTTCTTCATGAATCTCAGTCTATGCGTTTCTTGGAGGTCTTCGTCTTCAGAGTTGATAATCAGTCTCTTATCGGAATCCTTGACGGAGCCAATGTCCACCAAAACCTTCTCTAAATCCTTCAAGTTTGTGGCATTTCCACCTAATTGTGTCAGAGTGATGAGTTGCTTCACAACATCACCATTTCTATAGATTAATATCGTTGGACAATTGGCGTCTGGGTAGTTTTCGATAGCTCTGGAGCCTGGAATATCGACAAATTTCAACTCCGGGAACTTTGCAGCCAACGAGGACCACAACGAGCTCAGCAACCTCGACTGAAGAGATGACTGTAGTGACAAATGTACAAGGACAAAGGTGTCATTGGAGGCATCGGTGATTTCTGTCTTGTACTCAGGCTTTGTCACCGGATAAACTCTTCCATACTGGGATGCCTTGGACAGATCACTCAGCTCTTTCAATCTTTTCTGCTTGTACTCCTCCAGGAAGTCCTCATCCTCTTCATCTTCCAAGGCTTCAAGCTCATCAAGGTCCTTTCCTTCCAGTCTATTATCCCACTGCTTGACAACCGCATCTTGTAATGCCTCCTCCAGTTGTTCCGTTGGAGATGGGGGTCTCTCAGGGATGACCCCATGTTTTCTGAGAATATCGTTCCACTCTGTATCCTCATCCGGATCAACCTGCATTTCAACCTTCTGGTTCATCATTGGATTCATCATTGGGTTCATCTTGCCCTGCCCTTCCTCTGTTGAAGAATATGTCTTTCTCTTAGTTAAAGCAGTGCTGATGTCTTCTTCGAGTGCCCATCGCCCTCCGACGGCTTTACAAAACATGTTCGCGAAGGAGAAACTGGTAGGGGAAACACAATACCCAAATATAGAACACGCCGCATACACAATAAACCGAGGATGAGCTACACGACACCATTGATATGCTACAAATTGCCCATAGTTGAGAGATCTACAACATTTGTGAGTATGGTCTAATGTACTGAAGTATATGCTATGTGTGTGCTAATGTATTGAAGTCTATGCTATATATGTATTGGCCAGAAATGCAAGGTTTGTATAGTCGATTGGGTGCCAGTCTTAGATGAGTCCAGCTACAAGGTCTTGACGAGTCACCACTTTCAAGTGCTTTGTCCGCATCTGTGAGGCTCCACTATAGGTCGAATTTGCAGTTCGACTATAGTTGCTGCTTCTTGTGGTATGCTGTGACAAGCTGTTTTCGCTGGTATTTACGCTGGTCGGTTGCTGGCTTAGCAGTTCAACCCCTGAGCTGGAGTCGTCATGGTCTTTCATTTCGATATCCATGTCCTCCACACAGGGGACTTTCAGCAGGGAGAACAGTTTCATCTGAAATGACATGCTGTTGTTCTTTGTTGTTCTTTGATGTTCGATGGTTGATGATAGCTTGAGTGCCGATTGTATAGTTGTGTTTGTCAACCTGTAGCAATGATATTTATACCTATATAGGTATGTTGTTAGATTGCTGTGGGCTTTCTGGAAAAGGTGCCAATTTATATATAAAGTTATCTGAGTACGAAGTTATTTACTCATGGCAAACGCTGGTTTGGGTTTAGGACACCTGTAGAAGCTGACACACATGCGTTAAACCTCGTGAAAACGGCTTTCAGACCAACTTCTCAGGAGAAGGCTGAGCAATGTGGGAACGTTGAGCAACTCAACCAGGCCCGTAATACATCCTATCCAGCCGTTGATGGCAGGGCAGTGTGAAAAATGAGTCAACCTCAGGCCCACCACAATTCAATTGAGGTAAACGCATATACAGCAGCATAACACACAGTCTTTGACTCAAGAACCTCTTCTCCTGTTGCTTGAGTGCCCCACGTAGAGAGCGTAGCCTACAATGCGTTACGGATGCAATAAGTTCCCATTTACGAGGCGTGAGGTGAGGCTGGCCTTTAAAGCACAGATATAATGGTTACGAAACACGGAACCAGAATGGTTTAGCATTGGACTACAATGCGAACTCATACGTAGTCGCGTACAAATCCAAGCCCACCTTCCAGCTCTCATAGGCTCTGACGTTTCGGAGAGTACTCAATTGTACACACCTATAAATGGTTGTTCTTGATGGTTCTTGATGTCCTGATTATTCTCCACCACGTTGTTAGAATTTTTGGGTTGGAGGTTGCAGTCGCCATGGCGCACTATTACGTCGGGTGGAGGATGTGTGAGCCCAAATGGCACAACTCTCTGCTATGATTCATTCACCAGACATCACCACCAAATACAACTACTCATCAGCCTTTCAGTGCCTTTTTTGTCTATTCTTGAGTACACTGGTGGGATACAACCCCGTCTATATTTAGTTGTGGTTTATAATGTCTTGGTATACATCGTCGACCGTGCCCAGTACATATATATGCTTTCCTCCAGGAGCTGTTTGGAAACAACGACATGGAGGTTGGAACAAGACACTACACGGCAAGGAGACTAAAGTGTGATCGATATGTGGCAAGCTCTTACAGATAGGACTGCTACTATAACGGGACTCTCTGAAAGTCTCTTGTCTCTGGTGTCGAACGTTCGTCCTGCTACTTGCGTCAGCAGACATTTTACTCACAGTAGGATAACGATAGCTTTTAGAACAGTTTTTTTTCCATTCTATAGCATGGAAGGTGACAGTAGGTGTGTATTTCGAGAAGCGAGTGGGCTGATGAATACCTCTTACAAAGTTGAGACAAAGTGGAGAGCCAAAGCTGCACTTTGTCGACAGATCTGGTCCAAGGTATTGGAAATGGATGTTGCATACAGCAGATTGCCGAGACACGATTGGTATTAGATAGCCGTTTTGTCTTGTGCTCTAACACACACCATTTACAACACGCTTACTAGCCATTCTAGATAAAGTGATGATAGTTCATCGGTTACAGTTTCAGGTTCATGACATGTTGGCATCGCAACACCATCTGTATCTCAACTATTCGGAAACTCTTAGCGCAACCTACCCGCATCCAATTGTCATATCATTGATATCAAACAGCTACCTTCGATAGCATCGAAGTACCAGGTATATTGCAGCTACCTTCGATAGCTGCTGCTGAAAAGCAACGATAACCGTTAATCGATGCCTTCTTGCGTTTAGTTACCGGTTTCAGCAAATCTTGCAAAATTCTCACGTGCAGGGTACACCCTGGTCGATATAGCTGTGCACAGGTCCTGGTGATAGTGTGAGTTCGTAAAAGATTTGCAATTGTGTGCAAGCTATTATCAGCAAATCACAATTCCAGATCTACAGGGTGAACCACGTCTCAATTGAGTACTTTCAACGACTTTTGCGGTGTAGTTTGACAAACCCAGTGTTTTCTTCTTCAGGTTGAAAAGAATTCTGATCATCAACTTTCTCCTCTTATTTTCATGTTAACCCCAGAACACCAATCAAATCTCAGTGTCTAATATCCACGCACAGTTTATGACAGTTCAGGGCTGTTCATTGACACGCCACTACACATTATGGGGCAATTTACCAACCATGATTTTGCTCTTGGAGCTCCCCCTAGCACTTATCAACTGTGATGCTGAAATTCATGAAATATTGAAGTAAACACATCGCTATTCACAACCCACAGCCACTATTCGTATACAACGTAACTGTGTATATCCAATTCAAAATATGTTGCCGTTTAACTACACGGATGCTGGGGCAGAACTCAAGGATCGACTATGAACTAACTTACATACATCCAATGGTTATCACGTACTCGCAGATCATGGATTTGTTTCCCTTAGACATTATTTACCCCCAATATGAAATTGTGAGTTTCATGAACATGCCGTTCACTGAAGACAAGTTGATTGCAGACAGGCACATGTGGCCTCATTCAGGTGTGGAGAATTGATGATAGCCACCGCTACAATGCTGATTAACTGTTTGCCAAGTGTACAGTGGTAGCTCCAATATGTATGCTGTTAGTCCTTGATGTGCAACACATTTCACAGCTGTATGTCTGCCAATCTCAAACACCTTATTAGCATTCGATACGGGCAACTAAAGGCCAGTGCGTAAGTCTATCATGATCTCAATTGAGGAGCAGCATTGTTGATACCAGCATTCTTGGTTTCTGAAGGCTACGAGCTTCAGTGGCACACACATGAGTCGTACGGTACCCATGAGAAAGCACATCCCCAGCAAGGCCTTTCTCCAGCACATATATGTGAGCCAGCACAAAAAATACCAACTATATTATGAGCACACAAGCTACAGACGAACCAGCTGGAGCCATACAGCTAATACTCATATCGTCCAGTATTCCCACTTTAGGACGCTCGGCCGACATACATACTCCTAGCCAATGGCTTCCATCCGTCGCTTTCAAAATTCAAGATTGCACATCAATGGAGAAGGACGAGATCGGACGGCACCAGATATCTATCACGACTTATCACGAGATAGTGAGAGACAAATTGTCATATCGATGCGATCATTCCATTACCTGAAAACCTTGCCTGAGACCTCGGGAACGCAGCGAGGGTTCACATCTTAGACCCAGCCATGGTTAGTCATTTCAGCACTCAGCTCTATGACCTCACGGCATGAAAGACGCCAATTAGAAGCGGAACCAGCAACGCTAACCCAAAATTAAACGTATCCAGGCCTTCTACCTGCTTGTAGTATACAGTGATAACCATTTGATAAGCTCATCTGGGCCCATTCCCGAAACACCATGGTTTTAAGCGGCCTTGCCAAGTGTAGCCGTCAAGCCTGTCATCCAAACCCTGTTCCCAGAGCATGAACGTACATACGGATGCAGAGATGATATCAAAATTGTCAGTTCAGGCTCAGTATCGTAGTGGTGAGCAGTGGGAACCACACACATGCACACATCTGGAGCAGATATTTCTAACATGTCGTTGTAAATTCAGAGATAAAGCCATTATCATCTGTGGAGATAGCCACAGATTAGAACTGTGTATGTATGTGATATTTCTTGCGTTGAAGCTTCAGTGGGGACAGGTATAAAGTCAACACACAAGAATCATTTGAAGAGACTGGAGGAGACAGACTGGAGGAAGTGTAAGCGTGGGTCTCTTTTTAGCTCTCAGAGATGGAAAAGGAAGAAGCTGGTCTTTCAGACGGTGTCATTATCGCTGATAAAGAGCACATCCAGGCTGATCACACAGAGATCGGCGAACTGTCATCCAATACAGATGAAATAACTTCTACGTTCAAGTCGACAGACGAGAATGGAGAGTACGACCCGAATTTTGGGAAGAGGATCTGGGACGAGGAAAAGGTTCGTGAGTACTACCTTGGCCTGACGCCAGAGGCCGTTGACCTGCTCTTGGAGAAGACAGGCCATGGTCATTCAACCACCAATACGGATGATTTGAACGACGAACTCAAGTACGTCATCGACAAGGTTATCAACATGTCTGACGAGCGTGCCGTTGATATCTTCCGGAAGACCATCGCTGACCATGATGATGATGTGAACTTTCCAAGCGAAGAATGGAGTTTTATCAAGGGTATTGATGAAGGTACCTTGGATATTAACGATCCATTTATCAACTTCAAGACCAAGCTGACGGCCACCTTGTTCTTCTACCACTCTATTTATCCAGAGGTTCGGGCCGTCACAGATATCTTGGATGATGATGATGAGCCTTGCGAGACCATCAGATCTTACACCATCTCTATCATTTGGTTAGTGGTTGCTTCTGGTGTCAACGAGTTCTTTTCACACAGACAACCGTCCATTAGACTATCATCTTCTGTTATATCAATTCTGATGTACCCATCTGGTAAGGCCTGGGAATACTTTGTTCCAAAAGTTGACGTTCCATGGTTTGGAGGTAAGAAGATTCCCTTGAACCCTGGTCGCTACAGTTTCAAAGAACAGATGTTTGGTACAATCTTGTCTGGTGTGTCTGGTACTTCCGTGTACGTGTCCTACAACATTGTGACCCAGAAGAAGTTCTTCTTCAACGAATGGGCCGATTTCGGCTACCAACTACTTCTGACCATTTCAACTCAGTGTCTTGGTCTGTCGTTTGCAGGTATATTGAGAAAGTTCTGTATTTATCCTGAAAGAGCTGTCTGGCCAACACAGTTGCCAGCTATTGCGCTTAACAGGGCTCTTCTGAGACCTGAGAGAAATGAAGTGATTAATGGATGGAGCATTACACGTTATAAATTCTTCTGGATTACCTTTGCAGCTATGTTTATCTACTTCTGGCTACCAAATTATCTTTTCCAAGCTCTGAGTACTTTCAACTGGACCACTTGGATCAAACCAAGTAACTTTGACCTTGCCATGGTTACTGGTACCGTTAGTGGGCTGGGGTTGAATCCATGGACCACATTCGACTGGAACATCATTGCCTTCGTTGCTGACCCTCTTGCAGTTCCATGGCTTACGATCTGGAACCTGTACTTGGGTGCCTTTGTCGGCTTGTTCATCATTTTGGGTATCTTCTACTCCAACTACCGTTGGTCTGGATATTTGCCAATCAACAGTAATGCGCTCTTCTCAAACACTGGTGAGCCGTACAACGTCTCCAAAGTCTTGACCAATGGTCTCTTCGACATGGAGAAGTACCAGTCGTACTCTCCTCCTTTCTACTCAGCTGCCAACATTTTGATTTATAGTGCCTTCTTTGCTGTCTACCCACTATCATTCTTCTACAACTCGTACAAGGAATGGTCAACGATCATGAATGCCTACAAGATGATGAGTGAAGATATCATAGAAACTTTCAAAAACTGGTCATTGAAGAGTTTCATATACACCAATCCAAAGGCCTTTGCCAAGTTCCACGACCCTAATTCTAGAATGATGAGAAAGTATAAGGAAGTTCCAGATTGGTACTACGTCCTCATCTTGATCGTCTCCTTCATCTTTGCCATCATGACAGTTAAGGTCTATGACGAGACAAAGACTCCTGTCTGGGGTATCTTCTTCGTCATAGCCATCAACTTCGTGTTTCTGATCCCATTCTCTGTGCTGTTGGCAACAACTGGTGTTCAGCTGGGTCTTAACGTGCTTGTTGAGTTGATTGTTGGTTATGCTTTACAAGGTAACGGTGTTGCTCTTATGACGTTGAAGGCACTTGGCTACAACATTGACGGCCAGGCAGACTCCTTTGCCTCCTCCATGAAAGTTGGCCACTACGCTAGAATCCCACCTCTCGCTGTCTTTAGAGCTCAGATCATTGGAACCATCATACAGGCGTTTGTCTTCCTAGGTGTTGTTAACTGGTCTTTGAGTAATATTGATCACTTCTGCGAGAAGGGCCAGAGTGCAAAGTTCACCTGTCCTTCTGAGAGAACATTCTTCTCTGCTGCTGTGTTTTGGGGTACCATTGGTCCAAAGATCGTCTTCTCTGGGTTGTATCCAACTATGCAATATGCCTTCTTAATCGGGTTTGGCATTGCGCTGATATTCATCGCAATGAAGCACTGGGGCTCCAAATACTCCTGGTACAAGTACGCTGGCAAGCTGGAGCCAACCTTGTTCATCAACGGTATTCTCAACATCTATGCTCCATACAACTTGGGCTTCATCACCCCAACGTTGTATGCGAGCTTCATCTTTATGAACTACATCAGAAAGCGTTACATTGCATGGTTTGAGAAGTACAACTACGTGCTGTCTGCTGCTTTGAACGCCGGTGTCGCCTTTTCTGCCATTGTCATATTCTTTGCTGTCCAGTATCACAGCAAGGATGTTGACTGGTGGGGAAATACCGTGATGTACAAGGGTGTTGAAGGTGGTGAAGGCCAGCAGACCCTTCATGACATCTCGTTGACTGACAGAGGATATTTTGGACCTGAAAGAGGCCACTATCCGAGACCATGAATCCCCAGCTTTGTGCCTTGTTATCTCGACACTTTGATCAGCTTGACCGAGGTGCTTGTAACATCTAAAGCTGTCCGTGTATATGAGTATTGAGCTATGCTTGATAGTACTATCTAATTTCTTTAATATGTGCTGTTTGATGTAGTTTTGTTTTAACCGAAATAGGAAGATTTCCCGTTTCGGATATTTTCATCCCTTTACCTGGACACATGGCCCGAGGCTCTCAACTCAGCTTGTTGTTTACTCTTTATCAGCTGATTTACGATGGAAAGAACAGGGCCAATGGTTGAACTGAACGAGAACAGGATCTGGATCGACGGATGCTTTGACTTCTTCCATCATGGACACGCCAATGCCATATTACAAGCGCGTTCTGTAGGGGACGAGCTGGTCATTGGTGTCCATTCCGACGAGGACATATTGCAGAACAAGGGCCCGACGGTGATGAACCTGGCTGAGAGATCAGCGGAGATTGCTGCTAACAAGTGGGCTACACAGGTTGTTGAGAATGCACCATATGTGACACAGCCCGAGTGGATGGATAGATATGGCTGTAAGTACGTTGTGCACGGAGATGATATCACCACAGACGCTGATGGAAACGACTGCTACGGTATCGTGAGGGAGCAGGGGAGGTTGAAGCTGGTGAAGAGGACTGAGGGTGTTAGTACAACTGACCTCATCAACAGGCTGCTGAACCCTACAGATGTTGGCCATTATTACAAAGACCCCAAGGCCATGGTACGCGAGAACGAAAGCCTGATCAAGAGATTCGGCACGGATCCTTCTGGCTACAACCCTCATACTGATATCTACACTGGAGACTTATCTGACCCACTGCAGAAGGTTGGAGATAGAGAGTATACCATCTATCTCCATGGGAGCTTTGACCTGTTCAATCCATTCCACATTGCCGTGCTCAAGCAGCTGAAAGATGAGGGACACGAAGTTCTTGTTGGAATCTATAAGGATGGAGTCGAGCATACCGCAATGGACCTCCTCCAGAGAACGCTATGTGTATTGCAGTGTAAGTACGTGGATGGTGTTATAATCGGCGTTGAAAGCCGGGACTTCGTGCCAGCTGAGCTCCCTTCAAGAGCTGTTGATGAATACGAGAACGATTACAGCTATCTCAACAGAGGTGGCATTCAGAAGAGAATACAGGACCACTACGATCTCTACGTCGAAAGACAAAAGAAGAAGGGTGTGAAGAGTGAACACGAGAGTAAGCTTGAGAGACACCATACATAAAAGTGCCACTACCCATTTATAGATCATAGATCGTACTCACGCCAAAAAAACACACTCTCTCACATCTTAGAATGCTTCATGTAAACCCCAACCCACAAGAAGAGGTGCAATGCGGTCATACTGCTCTTCTGAGCTGTACCTTGAGTTCAAGTGCACCGGCAATCTGATGAGTTGTCGCTTTGAAATCGTCACCAAGGACACATCAAAGACCTCTCTGCAACCGTTGGTGCTATCTCACAGGTTTAAAGTAATTCAACACCACACACACTTAACCCGTACTAGATCCATGGCAAGATGGCAGTAAACTAATGAAGTGAATAGATAGCGTATAGAATCTTCATCAATGACGCGTTTTTGAACTCCCAAGACGTGCTCACTGACACGTTGATGCAGTGCTATGAAAAGGCAGAAGTATGTATGCTCCACTAGATATGGAAGCAGGGTCGTCAATATTAACTAAGCAGCTATTTACACAGGTCTGGAAGTCTCTGAAGCACCAGCTAGAGGCTAACTACTCAGATTTGGATACGTTCCATGTCCAACTGAAGGATGAGATTATCACTGACTCCGTCATTGCCAAGTTCAACTCCAACGTCGTGGAACGAGATGCCATTGACATCCTGGATAGTATAATTGTCGAAGTGAAGTATTACACTTCGAATCTTGCACCGAAAGAACTCATGAGGGAGCTGAACTACTGCCATTATTCGATGTTGCTCTGCCATTGGGAGCATCAGATCCCCTTCGTATTCAATATTAAAGCACGTGAAATGTTCAAGAACAACATGGACAACATGGGGAATATCAGCTTCAGCTTAACCAATTCGTCGCAACTGATGATGAAGCTGATGAGAACCATCGATTTCCAGCCGATCAGCGTGACTGATGAGTTGGAACAGCTCTCCAAATCTTCAAAGTACAGGAAGAAGAAGAAGAGACAGCAGGGTTATCCAATCCAGTTCTTCAGCTTCAGCGAGTCTGATACCCAAGGCTGGAACCTCTAAGCAGATTTATACTTATATTTCAGTGTATTCAACCCTTCAATGCTACCATTCAACTGCAAAATCCAATACTGTGCCAATGTAGAGCTTATGCTGGACACCAGGGGAACGCTGTATAACAACGACTTGAGAACACTCAAGTCCAATTGTCTCCATAGAACAACAACGGCGATGATGTTCATGAAGGTGTCAAAGACCAGATGCTTCGTCAGCTGCTTCAGTACGAAACCGCCCTCGGTGGGGAAGAATGATAGGTACCTTACACCAACGACGGAGAAGATCTGTACCACGATGGAGAGGAAGCTATCAACAGGTAGCCTCCTGTAGTACCTGAGATGGATGAATAGAGGTATCGGGAACAGGTACAGGACTGTCAAGATGTTGATGAATTGCCAATTGGTTTGGTAGTTCTCGAGCTTCAACAGGTCCACAAGCTCATCCTGTTCTTCCGAATCGATGGGCCCAGTTTGCAAGCCGTCAATCTTCTGAACAGACCGTCTCAGTCGTGGCATTGCAATGGTGAGTAGCTCTGTGTGCTGGGAACGGGGAGAGGCTGATGACAGAGAGGAAGAAGTTTCTCATGAGTCCGGAAGCAAAAATCACATAATACCGAGAGAGCCATCACCAACACCAACATCGACAACAGGGCCAGAGAACACACGATTGCCGGTGAAAGCACACTCAGAGCCTCATAGACAGTGCCACTGATAGACGTCCAGACACATCCGAGCGAACACGAGCTAACCATGATGCCCCCAGTGAAGCAATCCATACTGCCAGCTTTCCACAAGATCGTGAACAAGTCATCGAAGCCTCCAATCGTGTTTCTCCACGGGTTCTTGGGCTCTGGAAAGAACTTCACACTCGTGTCGAAGAAGTTTGCCAAGTTATGGGGAGTCACCACGTACACCTACGACGCTAGAAACCACGGAAGCTCACCTCATTGTGTCCCAATGGACTACCATTCGTTGACAAGCGACCTCGGCACGCTGTTGAACCATGAGCGACTGGACAAGGTCACGCTGGTGAGCTACTCCATGGGCGCAAAGGTTGCAATGAACTACGCCCTAGCACACCCTTCCAAAGTGGAAAGGATGGTGTGTATCGACAACGCACCTGTGGTCAAGCCCATTGGCGACGATTTCAAGGCTTACATCGCGGCTCTGGTGGACATCTTGCACAAGGACTGGTCCCATGTCGACCATAGAGCGCTCCAGAAGAAGCTGCTCCAGGAGATGAACAAGGTGACGAACGACAAGAACTTGTCGCTGTACCTCCTCGCCAACGTGAAGAAGCACAAGAACAGGTTGGTCTCAAGGATCCCTCTCGAGGTGATGAACGACGAGACAATAACACAGCTCGGCGACTTCCCTCACCACGACAAGCCCGTCAACGTGCCTACGCTGTTCATAAAGGCCGAGCACTCGCACTTCATCGACGCTGATGGCGTCAAGGAGTGCAAGAGGCTGTTCCCGCGTGCAGTGTTTGGCACCGTGGACTCGACCCATAGCGCGATGCTTGTCGAGCAGTACGCCTACATCAAGGCAATGATCGAAGAGTTCCTGGACGTCTCATACACTGATTGACTCAAATCAATGGCCAGGCTGAGTAGATGACACAAAAGTGACCTGTGTAGAGGGAATTGTTCTGGAAGCTGAGAGAATTCCACAAAGCTAACCGCCTTGTCTTTGAACCTGGGTTAACCAAAATACACCACGCTGGGATGAAGCTCGTGCTTGTGCTCTCCATGGTCTCACTGTGCTTAGCAGTCCACGTGTGTCCTAAGGACTACACTGGGATCCGAATCATTCAGCAGCAGAACTTCTATGTGGAATTGAAGTCATGGAAGGACGAGTTACAGACTGTGGTCTGTAACAAAGGCAAGATCATCTCTGAGTCGTTGTCGTCGTCGCTTGCGATACCAAAGTCTGTGTGCTTCAACTCAGCTTGTTTCAAGATTGGATTGACGAGGCTCCATTCGCAGATCGACCAGTCGTTGGTGTTCCCTGTCAATTCCACGATTGCGGGTGTGTTTGAGATTGTTCGAGGGGAAGGCTCATCAGATGAGCAATTGATGCCATATGCTCCGTTGTTACAGGACGATATCCAGCGTAGCTGGTTGCACATTAGCAGAAACGTCAAGTCGTGGAATATCCCCTTGTACTACACGGGCGATGCTGTGGATTCGAAGTGGTACGAAGCCATCAGCGCTAATGAGAAGTACACCGTGTCGAAGGAATCCATAAACAAGTTGAAGTCTTTGAAGCCGCTTGTTTGGAGGGAGATCTGGAAGCACTTGTCGCTGTACAAAGAGAATTTGAACTCTTTGCGTGACTATACGAGCTCTGTTGGTGCTTCATCGCTTAAGAAGAACCAGCGGGTGCAGTTACCTAAGGTGGACCTTCTTAAGCAGTTCTTAAAGCCCACAGTTGATGCACTAGCTGAAAGGAGATTTGATGTTGGAGAGAAGATCCCAACCAATGTATTCTTGATCTTGAGTCGTGCTCTTCCAACACCGGTGTTCGTCAACCTCGTGCTGTTTATTGGTGATTTGTACAACTCTGTGAAGCTACACCCTGTGGATGAAATACATTCGGAATACCAATCGAACTAGATTATTTTATATAGATGTAATGACTAGAGATTAATGACTATGTGACTTCACCACGTGTGGTTTGTATAACAGACTCTGTACAAGATCAATGAGGCAGCTCAAGGACTGGTGCTCTTTCAGCCTCCGATTCTAACTTCTTTCTATCAATGTTCTTAGACTCTTTGGTGATGTATGTTAACAGACTGAGACCGAAAACCACTGTCAAGCTCACAAGGAAGATATTCACAGGGATTGGGTTATTGTTTTGATACTTCTTTGTGTACAGGTCGAAGTAAGACTGTGCGTAGTTGAAGATACCACTGATGCACATCAACAGGCCGTAGACTTGACCAAACGTTGTGAAACCGAACACCTTTGCACTGTAATCAGAGACTGATGTGTAGTAGAAGGGTCTATACACAACCAAGACGAGAATACCGAGGAGGTTGAGTACAAAGCTCTTTACGATACCCATGACACCGATGAAGAGAGACACACACAAAAGAATGTTCAGCACCGTTACTGTTTGAAAGTTGTCCAAGATCAATCCGATGAATGGGATAGCAATAACACCACCCATAGGTAGAGCAATGTCAAAGATTCCGTTCAATCTCAGTGCGGATTCTGGACCAACGAGGTACTCCTCTTGGGATCTAACTGTTGCAACAAAGTAGTTGATTCTAATCATCTGCACAGTGGTGAAGAGACACATCAAGATGAAGAATGGCGACTTCAATTGGGTTTTCACAGGCTCACCATCAAGAATACCAAATATGTTACCGGACTTTTGAGTCAACTCATGTTCAACGTACTCCTCATAGACGGATTTACGTCTTGAGCCGTCAGGAGTCAGACTCGTAGTCAAAGTACCACCAATCTCGGCAGCATTTGCTGAAAGCAACGAGGTACGCTCATCCACATCTGGAATGATACCACTACCATCGTCACCATCAACGAGCTGTCCATTTTCATCCAAGCCTTCAATCACCAACTTCTGCACGGATCCCAATGTCTTGTAAGATTCATGTGGCATAATAAACACCTGACACAGGAAGATGAACAATGGCACAACGAGGTAAACAGTGAAGAAAGTGTGTAAGCCGATCTCCACAACGTTCTGGTAAACGAGTCTGTAGCACAGGAACACCGCAGAGGATGTATCGAATGCACCCGTCAACAAGGCCAATATCATACCGCTATAACGGGGAAACGAGTTTGCCAACTGGAAGCTGGAGATGAACACGAATGGACCACCAAGGGCCATCAGCACATAGCCGGTGATGTAAGGGTCACCGATGAAGCCAAAGAACCCTGACAGGCATAGCGCACCGAGGGCGATGCAAACACTCCCAATGAGCCCACACACACGAGGGCCCTTACGGTCCAGAATGTTACCAACTAACAGGGCGGCAACGTTGGTCACCACGGCGGCAACGGTAAACATCTTATTCAGCTTCAGGTCCTGTGCGATACAGGCACCAGCAGTCTCTGAGCAGAGCTCAGAGTAGATCCCTTCAGCAATCAGGATAGGCTTCAGAGCAGCAAACCCGAACACTGGGCCAGCAGCAAAGAGACACCACAGAATGGCACATACGATCTGGACGATCTTCGTACGGTTGGACGGATGCTCTGCCATTGTTCAGCACAGTGCAAAGAGAGAGAATTAGCAGAATAGCGTCTGAGCGGAAGGAGAGGAAGAAGGAATGAAGCTTTGCAATATATGGCTGCCTATTTATTTACATCATCGTTTTCTCCGGCTTTTTCTTATCTGTCGAAGGGGAAAAAATTCAATCATGGACATCTCCGAAACCGAAAGCTTCTGCATGCGACCAATTACGTAATCTATGTGAAATGCGTTACACTACGGGATTGGTCCAGTTGGTCCGAGCATGGTGGAGGCTTGAATCAAGAGAGGTTCCCGTTAGTGATCTGTATAGCGTTGTGTATGGCAGTGGTGATCGGACTGTATACTCTTCTTTACTTTATAGCCCGTGGAGCTGACGATTTTCGAGGTAGCCGTGATTTTGTTTCTTATCAGAAGATGCAATGATTCACCGTATGCAACAGCGACACGTTACGTCAGAGCACAGCTCCAGTGTGTATTGTCCTTGTAGTGTGTTTGCCTGAACAATGAGCCTGATGTCTATGTTGACATTGGTACACTGCTGTGGCTGAAAAGACACGAGCTCTGGCTTGGTATATTTGCACAGGGTCTGTGTACCAGGTGAGTTGCCATCACCAATATAGGAGTGGGATTATAGGGCCGGGATTATAGGGCTGAGATAGTAGGAGTGGGATAATGGGAGAAGAACAGCACTCTTACCCCTAAATCCTTACACAAGGGCTACTGCAATGTTCAAAGTATATTACATTGTTCAATCTATTAAACCCTTCTTGTCCCCTGTAAAAATAAACACATTATAAATACCCATCTAATGTACAACTGGATATGTTGGTATAAAAACAAGCACTGGCCCTTTGTAAGACTGCTTCACTAGTCATGCACCAACTTTCTTGTCACCAGCAGCGGCAGTGAGCCCAGGCTTACGCAAACCATTGGTAAAAGTAGAAGGCTTGCGTAACCCACCGCCAAACTTTGGTCTCATCAACAGCTTCTCCTTCTTTATCACTGAAGTGGAAACACTCGTTGAAGATGGCGAGGACGACGCTGATGGAGGTTTGGAACTCGCTTGTGTAGACGCAGGAGCCTCCTTCTTAAAAGTTGGTATCTTGATGGTAGAACGTGGATTGTTAGGCGGTGATGGTGCCTTAGCCTTTGGTGTAGGACGAGATGGTAGGACTGTCGTGGTAGTGGATGGCTTCGATGATGCCTCCTTTGTCGTTGTTGTCGCTGGTGTCACTGTTATGCTCTTCGCAACCGGAACAGCCAAAGTCTTCATGGATTCCACCAACTTTGTTTGGGAACCTCCATCATTTGACTTATCATTACCATTACCATCGTCACCATCTTCATCATCAACAACAGTGGCGTTATCCTTCACATCTTTCTTTCTATCTTTAGAGTCAAACCCGGGCATTCTAATTAACTTCAGTTTGGCTTTATTAACGTTAAAGCCAGTCAACACATCACTGGTTCTTTTCTGTGGAATAACTTTTGGAGTATTCTGAGAAACAGCTGAAACAAGTTGTTGTTCCTTCTGAGCAACCATGGACTGGGCATCAACTTGGGACTCAAAGTCATGGACATCAAGTGTCTGAAGATGTGACTCTTGCAGTTCCCCACCACTAGATGCAGAGATTAATTTAGAAAGCTCATGATCAAGAATCTTAGCATCTTCAAGTTCCGAAGTTTTGTTAAAGCCCGCAAGTGATTCAATGACTGCATTGTCAAGACTATCAATGTCATCACGATGTTGTTGTTGCTGCTGCTGCTGCTCCTGCTGTTGTTGCTGCTGTTGTTGCTGCTGTTGTTGCTGCTGTTGTTGCTGCTGTTGTTGCTGCTGTTGCTGCTGTTGCTGCTGCTGTTTTTGTTCGCCATTGGTACGAGACTTTGGTTTTCCCAGAGAATTGGAAACGATCTGTTTAACAACACCAGAAAGAGTCTCTTCATCTACATTGTGAATATCCAACTTATTCAAGGTATCACTGATAGCCGCAGTCAAGTCTTCCAACTTGGCACTCCGGATGATACGTCTGTTCTTTCTTTTCTCAAACTCAGCTTCAATCCAATCTAGTTTTTTCTGTGAATCTTCAGCTCCAAACAAATGAATGGCCCTCTTTTTTAATCTTGCTCTCAAATCATTATTTTGATTCTTCAAACGATTGGCGTCCCTCCATCTCTTCTTTCTCTCACGATTTTCCAGTCTGATTCTCTCTTTCTGTTGTTCAGGTGTCTCATCCTTCGCTGGAAGACTCTTTTTCTTAAATGGCTTCGTGTTTTCCCTGCGTTGCGGTTGTTGAGCTGTGTTAGCCAATGCTTGTGAAATTGCAGACGAAATCAAAGATTGTAAATGAGATGGCAAGTTTGGCAATAAACTTCCAATGTTGTTCAACAAAAGAGTTCCCTGGGCACCTGGCGTAACAGGTAATTGTGGACTTGAAACACCGGAATTTGCCTTTGAAGATGATCCGCTATCAAGAGAATCTTTTGCCAAAATCTCACTGGCCAAAGTTAGTGCAGACTCAAGAGTATGCTTGTCGCCTTGGTCTGAATTCTCAAAGTCATAACCCACCTGTCTATACAGTCCCTCTTGGTCCTGGTGTCCGGAAACTTGGGGATAAGTGGCTGGCTGAGATAGCTGGGCAACGTATTGATTATTAGTTGAAGGTTGAGCCGACCCAACTTGCGTTGTAATTTGCGATGACGGAGATCTCAAAACAGAGCCAGATACTTCCTGAGAAGGACTTTGTTCAGACGCAAGCTTCTGTTGTGATTCTTCTTGCGATTTTGCATTCAACTTAGAAGAAAACTTTCCACTTGACATCGATTGACGACTCAACGCCAATGTCTCTGCAATTGATAAGGATGTCTTCTTTTGTTTTGTAGAATTAGCCAAATCAATAGAGGTGTCTTTAGATAGTAATACTAATGGTGGTACCTTTTTCACAGAATCGAGAATTGAATTGGCAGGAGCCGGCTTTGGGAACTTTGGCTCTGGTACTAGGACATTAGCAGCGGATTTCCCGGATACATCGATGGAGTTAGATGTTGAGACAGCTTGCTGAGATGGTTGTTTACTAGACGATGTAGGTTGATTCGGTTGCAACAGATGTTTCTGCTGCTGATGTTTCTGTTGTTGTAGTAATAGCTGCTGCTGCTGCTGATGTTGCTGCTGCTGTAATAACAACATTTGCTGCTGTTGCTGCTGAATTTGTTGCTGAAATTGAACTTGTAAGCTCTGTGGCAAGTGCTGTAGGTTCTGCGGGAATGGAATACCAGTAATACTGAATTGTGGATTCGGTACAAAATTTGGGATTTGAGATACCACTGGTTGATTCTTCTTCTTCTTTGTAGCCTTACGAGGCTGTCTAGGCTTCTTCTCTTTTTGTGATTTCTTTTCCTTAGTTTTGGTGGTTTTATTCTTTGATCCTTTTGTTTGTTCTTCAGATTGTTGAAGCATTTGACCCAAGAAAGCTGAATCAAAGTCCTCACTAATGTTAAGATTCTGTAATAAGGTGTTTGGATCTTCAACAGCCAATGCCAAAGCATTCTGCATGATCTGGTTCATATCAATATCCTCCTCATCAACAGAAGTTACATGTACTCCTTGTTGTTCCTGAGCTTTATCACTCGCATCAACTTGAGTTTCAACAACATTCCGTACCAACTCCGCCAAAGCGTCTTTGTAAGGGTCCTCTTCAATGGCTCCATTTTCTTGCGAATTCTGTGAAGTAACAGTCTTTGATTCATTGAAAGCTTGCAATATTTGATTATGAAGTTCTTGTTCGAGATCTGCACCCAAACCATCTTGATTTGAAGCTTGCTTCTCCTGAGCACCTGAAACATTCACTTGAGAACTTTGACTATCTTCAGTAGCGGCGAAGGCATCCATGATTTGCTTATGAAGTTGTGCTTCATAGTTGACCTCTTCTGGCTGAGTCACTGTTTGGTCCTGTTGAGTTTGAATATTCTTTTTCAGCTGTGGAGCCGAATGAGGGGCATTAAATTGTACAGACTGGGCTGTAGAGTCAGTATGAAACTGTTTAGACTCCTCAACGACGGCATCAGTAGCATTTATTGCCTGCAAGATTTGATCAACGTCCTGCTGGTCTGTGGATGTGTTACCGTTATCATCAAGCGCATCCATTATTTGACGCGTCAGCTCTTGTTCATAGTCGATAGCCATCGCTGGCGCATCCACACGGGTATTATCTTCAACAGGTTCTGACTGTTCCATAGCATGCTTTGCCATCTCTTCTTCCATCTGTTGTTGTAACTGTCTTTCAATTTCTTTGGCAAAATCATCATCTTCTTCTTTAATGTTATTACTACCATTACTGGCTTCCTGAGTCGCAGATTGAACCGTCGTTTCAATGGCAGTAGTTGAATCAACCGTCTCCCCCACCGCATCAATCGTGGATTGAACTTCAACACCTACTTGGTCATTCCCATGGTTACCAGTGCCATGCTCCTGCAATTGTGCCTCCAATTGCCGCTGAATTTCTTGTTCGAACTCATCAACATCATTGTTTTGATTTTGGGCTTGTTGATCATCAGGCCCAAGTTGGCTCTCAACTAGGCCTTCCATGGCCTGCTGAACAACAGACGCGATGTCATCTTCAGTGAATTCGTGTGTTTCTTCGTTTGACATGCTGGCACAACAACTTCCAACGCGCAATGGCTTCCTACCTGTTGATAGCGTTTGTTGTTATTGGGAAACTGTGTGTTAGCTGTGGTGGGTGGCCCCCTGTGGAAAGCAGACAGCAACAGTCACTCCCCTGAAGTCGTCAAGCTTTGTTCCAGTCGTAGTCTGTTGGCGTGATGTGCTGTCCCCCCTTTCAATTCCTTGATGTTATAGAGACAGTGTATAGGCTTTACCCCAGATCTTATCAGACGTGATGTGGTGATGTTTTGAGAAGGTAAACAAACAAGGGATGAGTGACTGCTAAGTGACTGTGAAAATTTTCGTAGCCCTGATCACGACATTCCGCACTCCCACTTTATCAGGGAACTCAGTATGGGTGTGCGGATGTAACGATACTTTAGGGCTCCCGCTTTACCAGGTACACGCAAAAGGAAGCGGACTGAGAACTACGCGTGGAATATATGATACAGCGTAACTCTCAGAACGATAACGGGCGGAGGAGTTCTAGTGGAGTACCGTACACTGTGGATGAGCATGGTGATGGGGTTCGATGACAACAGACGCATTTTGAGGGGCGGTATGGGGGAATAACAGGTCACTTTTGGGGTTATACAGTGATGTAGATACTCTGTGCGAAGATTGGTGACGTTTGGAGGTGTATGCCACGGATGGCGTGCCATTTTATACCTGGATGGTTGATCCGACTGAAGGGTGCACAGTTCTTTGAGCACAGGGAATGGCGCTTTACCCAGGGCTGGTCAAACTAGGGTGCAATGTACTGTGCCATGAATGGTAGTGCCATTCCTTACTGACGTCCATATTACCCGTAACTCAGCGGGAATATGGGTTTACAGATGTGACACCCAAGGAGTGGCATAGAGAGATGTGTGGACTATACCTTATCTGGGGGTAGTTAGTACTCTTTTGAACATTGGAATGACCCTGAGGAAGTGATATAAATGAGCTCGTGTGATTGGATTACACTAAGGATCAGTACTAAAGGAACTCAAGGTGTTAAGTGTAATACCTTGTTTTCCTAGGACCCCGACACACCATTTCTGTAATCACCAGAAATAACGTATTCTATGTTCCATTCACTTACACGCAAAGGAGAGGTGAAACACCAGCAACAGTGCTCTCTTACCACTGTGCTTCATATGGGGTGTGATATCATCATACCCGCAAGTTCTAGAGGAACGAGGATATGTCACATAACACCTGTACACCGGAATCGGACGGACCCAATATTGGCGTTGACTACAGTGGTGAAATGGACATATGAAGAGACGTAAATTCATGAGATAAAGAAAGTGTCCATGATTATCATTTTGGATGCTCGATTCTGGTCATACGATAGCACCATCTTACTACAATTTGAACCCAGCAACGACAGGTCTGTGGTCACTGAACTTGAGTTCTTCAAAGCCGTTTGGAAGCACTCCATAGTAGTCAGAGTCCAGGCCCTTGACGAATATGAAGTCGATAATCACATCAGCTTCATCTTGAAAGCCAGTATATGTGCCAGTGAAACCGTACTTGATCTTGCTGACTAAACGGGTATCACTGTAGTACTTGGAAATCTCCTTGTACGCATCCTCTGTTGGAGGTGAGTTAAAGTCACCAGACAAGAGGATTGGACCGTCATGCCATTCGAGGCCGGCAATCAGGGCCATGGACTTCTCACGTGCAACGACTCCCAAGTGATCCAAATGCGTGTTGTAAAAGTTGAAAGTGTAGCCTCCACTCTTAGTCTTGAGTTGTGTCAACGTTGCAATTCTTGGTAGAGCTGCATCCCATCCCTTGGAAGGAACGTCTGGCGTCTCACTGAGCCACAAGGTCTTGGAATCAAGCAATGTGAACTGAGTGGTATCGTACAAGACAGGGGAATATTCACCGCTTTCACCCCCATCACGACCAACACCATAGTACGCCCAGTCACCACCCAGTAACTCCAGGATGTCATCCAATTGGCTCTTCAGCACCTCCTGTAAGCCCACCACGGTATTTCCCCTGGAGGCAAAGAACTTGATACTCTGAACGACATCGTACTTACGATCAGACCAAGGCTTTTCGGCAGCACCGGGGGTCGTCGTAGCAAATCTGATGTTGTTGGAATACACCTGAAGGTGTCCGCCTTGGTCAATTGGAGCTGCCCTAGTGATATTCAACAAGAGTGTGAAAACAATCAAGATGATAGAGGAGAGCGCAAGCATTTTGTACAGGTTCTGGTATCTTCCGGTTCGTGTATCGTCAGCCACCAAGATGCGTTCAGAAACACCATCTTCACCATCCTCTAACCTGATATAGCTCATCCTGGCCTTTTATACTAAAAACTGTACACGCTTCACAACGATTCCAGGCTCACTTGGACTACCTGTCTTAATAATATTGTCGCTATAGCTGATTTGAATGGCAATATCGTCATCATCGGTACCAGCCAGGATTAATTTTTTCGCTGTCTCCCCGTGTGAGTGACCCACGTTTCGACAGTCCTAAGCTTATACAGGCCAATGTCAACGTGTAACGTCAGCCAATGAGAGGATGTGCGACGAAGGAGAATTCTTCAGACGTGTTCAGGTATGCGCGTAGATCCACACGCAGAAAGTACACTGTGTAAAACAGTACAACTAATTGCCCACATGGTTAAGATTAACGTAGGGGCTATGCACGTACCTTACAGGTACATACAAGGTACATATAAACCTGTCACTATTGCGATGTTAGCCATGTGCTGTGCAATGCTTCCTATGAATGATGGCTTCTCGTGATCTAGCCACGGAATCAGTATATACTATTATGGTGATCATCGCACACGTGCTTAGCCATAATTGATCCCCCTAGAGACCATGTGGTCATAGTCTTGAAGATCACTCAAGCGATGAGGTTGTTTCGAATAGCTGTACGTGCTCAAACTTCTTGTAAGAATCCGGGGTCTTGCTATAGCTCTCATCCGATCTGTCCAGGAGAACAGCGAGCTCCTCCTGTGTCAAGGTATTATCCTTTACAGATGCGCTTACCCCAGTGAGCTTATGCTCCTCATACAGACTCTTCAACTCTGCAGCCAGGTCAGACTGTTCTCTTTTCTTCTCAGTTGTACCGAGCAAGGAGTTGTCCTGTCTCATCAGTCTTTGGAGGTTTTCGAATTTGCCCATACTGATCACCAGCTTCTCTAGCTTTCGCTTGGAGTCAGCCTTTGCCAGAATCACCTCTTCTACAGTGTTGGCTGTGATGAATCTATAAACGGCAACAGGGTTGGTCTGTCCAATTCTATGAACACGGTCCATTGCTTGCAGATCCACTTGCGGGTTCCAATCCGAGTCAAGGAGAATGACAGAGTCCGCAGCAACTAGATTCAACCCCAGCCCACCAGCACGTGTGCTTAGGATGAACACCTGCTTCTGAGGATCCTCGGTAAAGGACTTGATGTTTTGCTCACGTTCCAATTGATCCATGGACCCCTCTAAGTAACAGTGTCCAAAACCATTCAGATCGCAAAAGTCCAAGACAAATGGAATCATTGTGGTGAATTGACAAAAGATCAACACCTTATGGTCTTGTTCAATCAACCGTGGCAACAGTTGTTGAAGCAATTGTAGTTTTGAAGAGCTCTTCAACAGAGCATCCAGTGTCATATGCTTTTCATCATCCCAGGGGTAATAAAACAGGTAAGGAGAATCACAGATCAACCTCAGTTGCATCATCAAATTATTCATCTTCTTTTGGTCAACCCATTTAACACACCCGTGTAACACATCATAGAGAGCTTTGAACTGTTTTGAGATACCCTTGGGGGATACAAATGCTTCTTTCCCTATGCTTCGCCAAAATGCATCATCATCTTTTGGAGATCTACCTTGTCCATGGCCATCCATTTCCTCCTTAATGAAGGCCTCAACGGTTACCTGATCGATGGCCAATTGCTCAGCCTGGACACGTTGTCTTAATGCAAACTTGAGCACTTCGTTCCTTAAACGTTTCATCAGAGCAGCCTTGTATATCTTATCTTGATCTGGAGAGAGTTTCCCATATATTATGAACTCCTTCTTAGGCACAAGATCTTGAAGGGTGCTCTTCTTCAGACGTCTTAACAAGAATGGTTTCAAAATAGAGTGCAGGTTCTGAACCAACGTCTCTTGGATCTTAGTATCGATCATTTTCTTTGTTGAGTCGTCCGTGTCTTTCTTCAATTCCGTTATGGAACTGAAATCAAACCATCTTTGAAAGAGCTCTAAATCTTGAAAGATATCTGGAAGGATGAAATTTAGCAAAGACCATAACTCATTTAGATTGTTCTGCAGTGGAGTACCAGTTAGTAGCAATCGATTTTGCGTTTTCAGCCTTTTCAATTCCCTAATCAACTTGCAGTTGATGTTCTTCAACCTATGGCCTTCATCAACGATGAGGAACTTCCAATCAACTTTGTTAAAGAACTCAAAGTCTCTGAGCACAGTTTCATAGCTTGTAACCACAATGGCCTCGTTGAAGCCGTTCTGTGAGCTGTAGTGCTCATCTCTCAAAGCCTTTCTATCATCCTTTAGACCAATGTACCCCAGTACTGGCAGTGAAGGAGCGAACCTCTTTAGCTCACTGACCCAATTACCTACAACTGATAGAGGTGCGGTGATTAAGAAGGGGCCCCTGATACCCTTTTCATATAAGAACGCAAGCAGTCCGATACACTGTAGTGTCTTTCCCAGCCCCATTTCATCAGCAAGTATCCCGTTCAAACCATTCTCATACAGGGTAATCAGCCATTGGGTTCCTTCCAACTGGTACTCTCTCATCTGAGCTCCTGTAACCAACGCAGGCTGCGCCATGGAGATACTCTCTCTGACTTTATTGATCTTGTCCTTCGTGGCTACAGTCTTCTCACTGACTTTGGCCTTTACAGGGAAGTAATCTGTTACAAGCTTCTTCGATCTGGAGGAGCCTCTAGCTTTCTTCCTTGGAGGCTCCTCAACATTGGTCTTAACCTCATCGCTTCGCTCTCCCTGTTGCTGCTTTTTCTCCAATACGCTTTCCAACAGCGTATCACCAATGATCTTCGAGAACACCTGGGATTGCTGTACCAGCTTCTGCAATCTCTCCAGTTTGAAGGTGTAGTCGAGATTATCAAACTCCTTGTACTTCTCTTCATCCTGCTTCTGCTCCAGGCGTTCTTCCCTGATGAGCTCGTCAACCATCTCGTCTTCATGGGCTTCGGGCGAGGAAGACAGCTCACTTTCTCTCGTCATGGTCACACAACGCTATTCACCACGTATATCTCGATCTATAACAGTGATTTGTTCACCTGGTGTGACACACTGTGTCGTCTTATTCTTGCTTAGAGACGCGTGTATCGTTCACAGTGGTGAAGCCCACCACCGTAACTATTATCACGCTTGCGTAAATATCAGCACCGAGGAGTGAGCAGACCGCGAATCGCGCGAAAATCGTGAAAAAAGGCTGGAAAAAAAACACAATCACCCAAACCGTTGTTGTCCGTTTTAAAGGAAAAGAGAAACAAGCCAATTTCAACGCGTTTTCAATAACAACAGATCAAAAAACAAGCATCAACAGGCGAATCACCGTTTGAAAGAAAGGACAAACGAATAATTTACACTTGGAAATCGACTCTGTTGGAATACTCCGAGGGAAGGAATTGTTGTTTTTGCTTAAGGTTGAGTGTATATTTCCCAGCTAACCACCACCACGACTACCGCCCCCTTTGAAGGAGAGGAAGCGCTTTGTTTACAATTCGGGGAAACTATCACGATGTCAACACCAAAGATCAAAGAGGAGCCGGCTGCTACAGAACCAGCAGCACACAGTAACGATGCACAGGATCAGGACGTTGAGATGACAGATGCCGCTGAGCAGGGCGTCTCGACACCGGTGACTGAGGAAGAGCACACACACCGTGAAGATGAGGAAGGAGAAGCAGAGAAGTCGCCAGAGATTGATTATGTTGCCGAGTCGAAGAAGATTGAGGAGAAGGCAAAGATGTACCTTGCTCGCCAGACCAAGCCTGTGATCATTCCAGCGTTTGCTGCCTGGTTCTCCATCGATGATATCCATGAGATTGAAAAGAGATCTCTTCCAGAGTTCTTCAACAACAACTCGAGGTTCAAGACGGATAAGATCTACAAGGACATCAGAAACTTTATGATAAACACGTTCAGACTTAACCCTGTGGAGTATCTCACAGTCACAGCGGCAAGAAGAAACATTGCTGCTGACGTTGCATCGATAATTCGTATACATGCCTTCTTGGAGCAATGGGGGTTGATAAACTATCAAATTGATCCAAAGACCAAGCCTTCTCTTGTTGGTCCACAGTACACTGGCCATTTCCAAATAATACTCGATACTCCGGATGGACTGAAGCCCTTTATCCCACAAGGAGCAAAGATCGTGAAGCACGAACAATCTCCAGAGACTGACTACACAGATGAGGTTAAGACTGCGGTGATCACTGAAGAATCTATTGCCAAGGATCCTTTGAATTTGACGTTGAGAAAAAACACCTTTGACTCTACACACGATGCGTTGTCGTTTGGCAATGGTGATAGAGCTACAAGTGTACAGAACAAATCGTTTACATGTAGCGTTACAGGGAATGATTCCACGGATGTTAGATATCACAATTTGAAAACCAAAGGTTATATATCAGCCCGTGCTTTTAAAGAGGGCCATTTCGGCTCAAATTTCACAAGTGCTGATTTTGTTAGATTGGAGAAGCTCAGTAAGAACAACATTGCTTCTAAATGGACAGATCAGGAGACATTGTTACTCTTAGAAGGTATTGAAATGTTTGAAGACAACTGGGATAAGATTTCTGCTCATGTTGGTTCAAAGACTAAAGAACAGTGTATTACAAAGTTCATTCAATTGCCTATCGAAGACAAATATCTGGTGAGATCCATCGCACATGTTAAGAAACAAGACACAACAACAAAATCTACTACAGACTCTACGAATGAGTCTGTTATCAAGACGATAAAATTCTTGATCAAAAATCTGGACGGTGACCTGGCTTCAAGGGATTTCTTAGAGAACGATGAGGACTTCCAGAAGGCTGTTAAGCTTACTGTGGGATCCTTGGTTGGTGGTGCACAGGCTGAACAACAGAATTTGAAGCAGGAATCTACAGATTTGTTGAAGAACCTTGTTGACCTGGAGATCTCCAAGATTGAACACAAGCTGAGTAAGATTTCACTCTTGGAGAAGCAATTGAATCAAGAAAAGGCAGAATTGGCGCAACAGCGTAAGGATGTTGTGCTTGATAGATTGGCATTGAAGAAGCAGGCCGTGGATGTGCGTAATAAGTTGGCACAAGCAGCTGCAGCGGAGAACCCAGAAGTTGGCAGCCAGCTAGCAGAAGAAGCGGTTGCTATTGCTAGCAAAGCACCAAGAGTTTCTGTCATTGCTACAAAACCAATCGAAGAAACCATCGATGAGGACTCAAAGGATAAAGAAGCAGTGGAGAAGGCAGAAGAGGTTGTCCCTGTGAGTCAATCATCGCCAGAGGAGTTCCAGTACTGGAAGCTATGAGTCAACGTTGTAACTATATAAATGCCGTTAAAATAAAGAAGAAAAAAACAATGTATTGTATTGATTGATGATGAACATTGTAGATATGAAACGGAGGTGTTTTTCCCTTTTTTTTTGGCTGGGCCAGCAAATCACCGGAGATGAAGTTTCGAGTACTGAACCCATTATTCAATCTTTATGAATCCACGTGCACTTTAGGACATTCGAGGATGAAGCTTAACGTACTTATAACCCTTGGTCTCTCGTTAGGAGCCTTTGCCCATGCGCCAAAGGCAGCATTGAGACAGGTGCACAGCGAAGAGAAGGAGGTTTCCGTTGTTGAGCCTCTGTACTACTCTAACGGAGACTTGAACTTACAGGTCCTTGATTCAAGACTTCAAGAGTGTGCTGTTGTAAAGGATATCAACGAACAACTGGCGTTGGAACATGATGAGGAAGAAGGAGAGTCGATGATTTCATATCTCTTTTCAAAGCTGTTCCCCTTTGAGAACCCAGCCTATAACGCTTTGCTGGCCACTACGTACATCTCCGGTCCACCAAATCTGATTCTAGGGTTCATTCCGGCTTCCATTGACCCCTCCAAGCTGTCTCTACTGATCAGCTTTGCCATTGGTGGGTTGCTTGGTGACGTGTTCCTTCATTTGCTACCACAGACCTTTGTTGGCGAGCCTGTTGACCATTCGAAGGCGTCTTTTGTCCTTGTTGATGAGAAGAGAAACACCATCCTCGGGCTGTTCATCTTTGTTGGCTTTTTCGTCTTCTTCATCATCGACAAGTCATTGAGAATCCTGGAGCACGAGCAAGGCCACGAGTCTACGCATTCCCACTCCCACGCCGCTGCTCCTTCCGATGAAGAGGTTAGAAGACATAAGAAGACCGACGATGACCAACCGGTCATTGCCAATCCAAACGCCAGCGTGAAGACAAGTGCCTACCTGAACCTGATCTCGGACTTCACACACAACATCACCGATGGCCTTGCCATTGCGGCCTCCTTCTACATCTCCAAGTCCGTGGGCTCCACCACGTGTCTTGCTGTGTTCTTCCATGAGATCCCTCATGAGGTTGGTGATTTTGCCCTCCTGATCCAAGGTGGGTTCACCAAATGGCAGGCCATGAACTCCCAGTTCCTCACTGCTGTCGGGGCCTACGTCGGTACATTCTTGGGCATCTTCATCCAGACCTATGGACTCTCGTCTACAGAGGTTGTTGAGTTTGGTAACGTCTCCCCAGGCCTGTTCGGCACAACAGTCACCACGGGCGATCTAACACTGCCATTCACTGCTGGTGGCTTCCTCTACATCGCCACTGTCGGCGTCATACCTGAGATCCTCGAGCTACAGACCAACAACACGAGACTTGGGGAGTTCTCCAAGGGTCTTTGCCAGTTGTTCTTCATCCTTGTTGGTATCTCCCTGATGTTCCTGATCTCATGGCTGGAGTAGGAGGGTTCTTTCTGTAGCGTAGAGTACTGAATACAAGCAGCAGCGACAAGGTAGCCACGTCTGAATACAAGCAGCAGCGACAAGTTAACCACGTATGTATACAACGACCAAGTACAAGTTAGCCACGTCTGTATACAACGACCAAGTACAAGTTAGCCACGTATATCTACAACCACCAAGTACAACCTAGCCACGTATATCTACAACGACCAAGTACAACCTAACCACGTATACCCACCTCCACCACCTACAAGCTAGCCACGTATATCCTCGACCACAAGCGACAAGTTAGCCACGTCTGGCTACAACGACCAACTACAAGTTAGCCATGTCTGGCTACAACGACCAAGTACAACCTAGCCACGTATACCCACCTCCACCGTCCATCACAGTAAAACCATCGCATCACAGACCGATGGTTACGAAGCCCTGGCGCACAGGCCACCGCTTGCTTACGTAACCATTAGGGGGGAGGCTCTCCTCCTCCTTCCGCAAAAAGGGCGAGGATGCTTCCTTTTTCCTCTGCCTTGCCCCTTCAAAAGAGCTGCCTAAACCCATAAAACACACCAGAGAAGGGGGTTTAATTGCGATTGACATTGACATCAACAGCTCCAATTGGACGATCCCTGTACGGCACCTCACAGCTATATATCCAGGCACTTCACACACACTTTCTAGGTACTCTTTCCGGCCGCTTGCACGCTGCATCAGATGACTCTACCAAAGGAATACGTCAATGAGCTCAACGAGCTGAACAAGGAGGTGCAACGCCAGGCTCCAAAGGACGTGTTGCAGTTCTGCGCCAACTATTTCCAGAAGAGACTGGAGGAGCAACGCCAGCTGGCGTGGGCACAAGCTCCCAAGTTGAAGTCTCAAGGAATTGACCTTTTCCCGCAGAGCACAGGGTCTGAGAGCACCCCCGTGGAGAAGGAGGCTCCGTTGCTGTTCAATCAGCCTTTCACTGATAACGACCCGCACGCGAGGGATGAGGGCGAGGCACCAAGTGATATCTTCAAGTCTGACTTCAACGTTGGAAGCTCACACAGTGGGCGCGCTGCCGCCACGGTGGATCCACGCGCCGCCGTGGAGCAGCCATTCAGAAGAAGCTCCATTGCAGCACCACAAGGCGTGAACTTGCCATTGGCTTTCAACGCCAACAGACGTACAAGTGTCAGTGCAGAGACCTTGAACCCACATGGGATCAAGGATGACTGGCATGCTCCTGTGATCCCGAAATCAGCAGATCAGTTGCAAAGATTGAGCAACTCTGTTGTTAAGAACTTTCTGTTTGGTTCGCTGGACGAGGACTCGTTGAAGACTGTGATTGGTGCGCTGAAAGAGGTGAAACTGCCTGCTGGCTCTGAGGTCATCAAGCAAGGCGATGAAGGTGACTTCTTCTACGTTGTTGAGTCCGGTGAAGTTAGCTTTTACGTGAATGGCATCAAGGTGAGCTCATCTGGCCCAGGTTCCAGTTTTGGTGAATTGGCACTCATGTATAACTCCCCAAGAGCTGCCACTGCGCTGGCAGAGACAGACTTGGTACTCTGGGCCCTGGATAGACTCACCTTTAGACGAATCCTGTTGGCCAAAACCTCCAGAAAGAGACAACTCTACGAGAGCTTCCTGAAGGAGGTTCCTGTGCTATCACGTCTGTCGTCATATGAACGCTCCAAGCTGGCAGATGCGTTGGAGACGGAAACCTACCAACCGGGAAATGCCGTTATCAAAGAAGGTGAGGTTGGTGAGAACTTCTATCTCATTGAAAGTGGTGAGGCCAATGTTCTTAAGGAAGGAGAAGGTGTTGTGAGCCATTTGAAGAGAGGTGACTACTTTGGTGAGGTTGCTCTGTTGAACGATCTTCCAAGACAGGCAAGTATCGTTGCCACTACGGAATTGAAGGTTGCTACGTTGGATAAGAAGGGCTTCCAAAGATTGTTGGGACCTGCTGTTGAGGTTTTGAAACGCCAGGATCCAACAAAGCATTAGAATATCAATGAATTCCATACATTGCAACGTTACAAGAAAGAAAAACCACACACTTTTTACAACACAGGTTCCACACTCCCAGTGAGCATACAGGGAAAAGACACTGCATCCGTATGTAGTCAACTTTTTTGTTCTCATCATTTAATTGTTTACGAGTTTTGATGTTATTACCTCTTTTTACTCAGAGTGATTCTCTGTAGCTTATGTAGTGTGTGTAGTATAATGTATAATAGTTAATAAATATGGTTGATCTATGATCTAACGTTCCATTCGAGCCAGCACTCATCGAATATTGGTCTAGAGGTATAACTATCTGCCATACTCATCATTTCGACATCAGTCAGAGATGCTTTCGACCCGTGGACGTTGCCCATCATTGGTGGTTTCTCTGTGAGGTTCTTACACCACTGTGGGCTAATCTTGGATTGGAATCTCCAATACAATTGAGCAATGCAGAGCTTCATCTCAGTCATAGCAAGGTGCATCCCCAGGCACATCCTATTCCCCTGGCCAAAGGTGAACAATGAGGATTTCATTAGCTGAAGTCTCTGTTTAAAGGACTCATCAGTCTCATCACCCTGCTTCAACCATCTCTCAGGGATGAAGCTTTCAGGACGTGCAAAGACAGTTGGGTCAGTATGAAGAGACCATGGCTGGACAGAGACAGTGGTGCCCTTTGGAATGGTGAATTTAGCACCGTTGACATCAACGACAAACTCCTTTACAACGCTACGTGGTTCACTGCCTGGGATAGCTGCATGCAAACGAGTAGTTTCCAGGATCACCGCTTCCACGTATGGAAGCTTATCAACAACATCCAATGGCAAATAACCTAATGGTGTCTCACCAAAGTTCTGAACCATCTCGTCATACAACTTTTGTTGTATGTATTGATTCATAGGTCTGGATAGTTCCCAGGTGCAATAAGTCAACGACGCACCTGTGGTTTCATGGCCGGCAGCGACGTGATCAAACACTTCTGATCCAATAGCCCACTTGGTGACACCGTTCACGTACAAGGTTCTCACAAGAGAAGGTTCGCCAGTATCACCATTTTGCACCAAATCCTCGTATGCCTCGAGGAACTTCGACTTGGCCCAGTCACGGCATTGACCAGAGAGTGTTGCCGTTTTCTTATCAGCAGCCCAGGACCACAGGGAAGGCAACAGTGTGGTATAGAACCACATCGAAGAAGAAGCTCTGAACGCTTCAATGATCTTTCTCTGTTTCAAGTCTAGGAGCAGATTGGTGGTGAACTTTGACCCGAGTTCGTAATACGTAACAACGTCCATGGCCAAAGAGTTGAACATCTGATAGACATCCATTGGCGCATCGACAGACGAGGCAACAAAGCTGAGGAGGTTTTGAACCTTTGTGTTGATGTGGGCCTGTGAGTCATGAGCGAACACCGATGACTTTGTATACAGTTTAGCCATCATTCTCTTTCTCTTGAGATGGCGGTCGGTGTCGATGATGGAGAAGGCGTTCAGCTCACCAAAGTTCGTGAACTGGGAGTAGAACGAGGTCTTTGGCATGTTCTGCTTGACGTAGATCTGTTTCATGTAGTCGACAGAGGCCAGCGACACCTCGTTAGGCCCGATCTGAATGACAGGGCCAAACTCCCTGTGCCATTGATTCAGCTTTTCATTGCGGCTTTCGATACGCTGGTCGTTCAGCACAAAGATCGAGGAGATCTTATAGAGGAAGGGACCTGGCAAAGCGGACAGCGGGTTCAAGACGAATGGATAAATCACCAGATAGAACGAGGCGATGATCGTCAACGCCGTCACGAGCGACGTCAGTGGATGTAATGAGACATAATCCCACAGCGTAAGTACAACTCCGTTCATGGCGCAAGTTTGAGGGCTCTTTACAGTCAGCTGTGTAAGATTAGTGGGAAAGCACAAGGGTGAGGAATAATTATCGGCTCACTTTTTCCCCCTGGTCCCTTTTTATATCCAAAACGTATGTTTCCAACATCATCGCTATCACTTCACATTAGCAGTCCGCTAAAGTAAAGCGGAATTCACATCCACATTATTGGGTAGAAATTCCGGGGGGACCATCTCCAAATTCCCAGCGCGTGCGTCGCGTTGACCTTCCATACGTTGCATACGGCGTGCATACTATCGCCGGCTAAACTCCGAGCGATCGTGTGTTATGAAAATTAAAATCAATTGAAACTATACGACTTTGGTTACTGCTTCAACGCTTCACTAACAACGCCTGCGATCTTGATGGCCTTCTCCTCCTCATAGCGCAGACAGTGAATCTGTGCACATACAGGCATGCCCTTGAACAGGTCATAGTCCCACAGGTGCTTGTTATCTTCATCGTCTGCGTTCAAAGCGGTGTAATCTGCGGCAACGTTGTCCTCCTCGGATACGCTTGTCACTGGCATGATGACGCTTGTGTAGTCGAGGTAGTTTGCTGGGTAGGTGTATGAGCAGTGGTATGGTTTGTACTTTCCAGCAGGGTAGGAGGTTGTCTCCCACGCTGCGGAGATGAAGCAGTCCATTGTTCTGCCGCTAGGCCCTGTTTTAGACAGCCATGCCTTGTCGTAGGCTTGTTGTGTCTCGTACTTGGTCTTGCCTTGTTCCCAGTGCTCCGTCACGCCAATCTCCTCCAGATCATCAGAGAACCCCAGTAGCTGTGGAATGATTGGCTCACCGGTCTTAGCAACTTCCCTCTTTGTCTCGCCGTAGCCGTCAGCGACAAAGATCTTTCCCAGGTTGTCCTTCAACGTTTGAACCGGGATAGGATGTTCCCACTCGATAACCTCATGGCCCGCAGCTTTCAGCTTGTCCACGATGAGCTGTAATCCACGCTGCACAGGTGGGTGTGGTGTGATGTACCCGTTGTTCTTCATGATACCGACCGTCAGTCTCTCCGGGAGCTGGACTTGTCTCCATTCGATAGGTGGACATTTTGGATCTTTCAACCAAGGTTTGGAGTCGATAATCAACTTGACAAAGAATTCCAAGTCCTCCAAGTTCTGAGCAGAGGGCCCAATCACAGATGGCACAATTGGCTGATTTGCGTAGGAGTTCATCACTTTACAGTATGGTAATCTTCCAGTGCAACCTCTAATGGCATACAGGCCTTGGAAAGTCGCAGGGACTCTGATAGAGCCACCGATATCTGTGGATAGCCCAATGAGCGCACCACGACATCCAATCAGTGAAGATTCACCACCGGACGAGCCGCCAGATGAGAGTTTGTTGTTGAACGCGTTCACCGTTTGGCCATACAAGTTTGAGTATGTATCAACAGCCATCATGGCCATTGGAACGGTGGTCTTGACGTAGAAAACGGCGCCCGCATCGTACAAGATCTCTGCAATGACTGAAGTGTCCTCTTTGGTCTTTGGCTTGAATGCCAAAGAGACATAACCGATTGACGAGTCCAACCCTTCCAGGTTGATCTGATCCTTGAGAGAAATTGGCAGTCCATGCAATGGGCCTTTCAGCTCACCAGTGGCTTGGTAATACTCATCCAGCTCCTTTGCCCGGGCCAGCGCCCTGTCGAAGAAGATCTCTGCACAGCAGTTGATCAGCTGGTGAGCCAAGGCAGCCCTATGACAGAATGCCTTCGTGATCTCGTATGAGCTCAGTTTCTTATCCTTGATGTCCTTCTGCAGTTGTAACAGGGACTTGTGGACGATTTCAGTCTCATCCTTTGGTAACACTTTGTTCAGGTACTCGTAAGCGTTACTGGCATCCTCCGGAGTCTCCTCCAGAAGCCATTCCTTGGGGATCTGAGAGCGGACATAGTCCCTCTTCTTCTGTGCAGTCTCTTGCCACGATGCCATTGTTGCTCCACAGCTACGCGCCATTGAGTACTCTCAAGCTTAGCGCTACTGTCAAGAAGCAGGGCCCTGGGCCCTGTTTATATACATACGGTGGTCCAGCACTTGTCACTGATGTTCCCCTCCCCCATGGCATGTACGTACACCGTGTTAATTCCCCTAATCCATGCTCCTTATCAACAGACAAACACACCCAATTTGCTCCAATCAAAGCCATCCCTAACCTTGAACATGAAGGGTGAAACTTGCAGCGTGCAGCATTGTTACACGGGTCATCCACCCAGTGCAACCAGCAGAACAAAGCGGGAATTGGTGCCAGTTGACGATTTCGCCGGACTGCACTCACATTTATGCGACCGTTGTGCGGTTATCACTATCACTATCTCACTATCACTGCCCTCTCTAGGGGAGCATGGGCCATATTGATCACATCGCCGGCGAGACGCAACGAGGGCTGTTGCCGTTGTTGCCCGACACATAAAACGGGACGGGCGTGTGGTGGGGGTGCCTGGTGGGCGGAGGGCGGCGGTAGCACGTCGCTAAGTTTTAAAGGGGAGGCGCCACTGGAACCCGTTGGGACTATAGGTGGTGTCAGTTGGCACGGTAACAGGGACTTTAACTGAGATGTTTACCGGTATAGTTGAGCACATTGGGGAGGTTGAGCTCTTCACGAAGCAGGACGATGGCAATTACACGCTGACCATTGTGAAGGCGTCGCCTGTGCTGGGCGATGCCCACATCGGTGATTCGATTGCGGTGAACGGTACGTGTCTCACGGTGACGTGGTTTGATGGTGATAGTTTCACCGTGGGGTTGATACCTGAGACTCTTAGACGCACCAACCTGGGCTCCCTGACAAAGGGCACCAAGGTCAACCTGGAGAGGGCTGTGGGCGGCGATGTTAGGTTTGGAGGCCATTACGTCCAAGGTCACGTCGATACTGTGTGTACCATTGTGGGCGCACAAGCTGAGGAGAATGCAATCAACTACTCGTTTGAGCTGAGGGACAAGGAGTACATCGATTACATTGTGGAGAAGGGGTTTATCTGCCTGGATGGCACTAGTCTGACAGTGACGTTTGTCGATTACGACAAGTCGCAGTTTGGAATCAGCATGATTAAACATACACAGGAGAACGTTGTGATGCCTTTGAAGCATCTCGGCGACGCCGTCAACGTCGAAGTGGACGTGATGGGGAAGCTGATCAAGAAGCAGGTTGGTCTCTACATGGAGCGCGAGGTGTCTGGTAAGTTGGAGCAGATGATCAATTCCATTGTTGACAAGAAACTTGGCTCTCTCAAGCAATAATTCGCCATCCATACGCACGTTCTCCTCCTCCGCAGTTCGAAAAGAAACATCTTCAAAGCTGTGATACGTAGTGTTGATACTCGTCATAGTCGCACCCAACCTTGACGCCTTCGTACCGGATGACTTCAACGTCATCCAAGTCGTAGTCATATCTGTAGCCACTCTTGCGGATACAGTGCTCCACAGTCTCCTCTTTGGTCCATCCTTGCTCCACTGCAACGTCTGGTAGGAATGTTGCACCGTAAGAGCGCCCTCCACGGCTCAGCTTGACACGAATCCCGTGCTTCCCCAAGGTCCAATCCATCGCATCAGCGGCCTTTGTGAAGTTTCTCAGCACAGTGATATTCACAGACAGCAACGGCAGCTCCTTCTCTGTAATTGGTCTGAATCTCGTATCCTCAAACGCTGAGATCAGTGCGTACTCACGGATGCCCCTTGTCAGTGGAATATCAGAGAAGGTTCCAATACAGCCTCTTAGCTGCTTCACCCCGTGTTCCCTCTTATTCCATGTAACAAACAACGGCGAGGACTCCTGGGTTTCAAGCTTCACTTGCGCCTGTGAGCCTCTCAGCTCAGAGACAAGCGAGTCAAAAGCATAGTAAGCGTATTCCTTGGACATGTGTGTGTAGTTTTAAACCGCTCTGTATAGCAAGTGGTGATGAAGAAGGGCTGTTTAAAGGGAAGCTGTGCTGTACTGAGTGTGTATTTTTTTTGTGTCAAAGGGGGGTTTTAGTGCGTGCGGTGGGGCTAATGAAGGCTACAGCGGTTCCATATTGGCGGTTATAAAGAGGTCAGCGGTGATCGGATTGAAATGATATAATCATAATGGAGTACTTAGATGATCCTAGAGACCACATAGACTCGTGTGTTTGAGTTGTTTGGGGTGTGATCACCACGATTGGCCACTAATCATCACGATTTGCGACTAATCATCACGATTGGCGACTAATCATCACGATTGGCGACTAATCACCTCGACTGGCGACTAATCACCACGATTGGCGACTAATCACCCCGATTGGCGACCAATCAGTGCTGTAGTAGTTGCATCCTCAAACAAGTTATGTCCGGTGGTCCAGTAATACTCGAGAAGCGCAACACGCTCTTCATTGTCTTGAAACCCGGTGTAATCCATCACCTGATAGCCAGAGGTGTAAGTCAGCATGTAGTACTTTGCCATTGTCAAGTTGGAGGTGTCTCCCGGAGCCATGGCGACGGTGTTTTCGCCCTTAGTACAGTCGGTCTGGAACCCCAAGTGGTTCCAGGTGGTGCCGCTTTTGACCCACGTAGGCATTTCAACGGCTTGCACAGACTCCACAGGAGCAAACTGCTGGAAACAGAATCCATTGTGGAAGACCTCGGCCACTCTCACGGCCAAGGGGATCTTTTCGACGTTGGTGTCCAATGATGCGAGGACGTTAGCGACGAGGACTGACAACAGAATGACGAGACTCATGGGATGCTTTACACGGTTGATGTTGAGTAGGAGGTTGGAAGGAAACACTGCTCGCTAGCCTTTATATACTGCCCAATTAAGCTTCATATACAGCTCAACCAGAAATGCCCCAATTGACCTTCCCCATGCGCTTTCGTTGTGCAGCATTGATCACTGGTTGTCAAGCAGCACTGAGAGAGCTTAAAGCCCTCAGTGAACACAGGCAGCCCACGGCGAGCCAATACGTATAAATGACAGCCAGAAACAACAGTACACGACAAGCTCACGAGCTCATAACGCACTGTCAATGATTACGGAGAGACCTGCCCGCCCTTCGCATTGTTCAGCTCGGCTTATCTCAACCATCAATGTATGCGGTTCCTGCGTGATGAGGGAAGTCTCAACATTTTTCCCCGGTGTCGACCGAGACGGAGTTTTTTTTTCATCGCTTCTCTTTAGCCTGTTCACTCCATTGGAACAGCATTGAAAAGAAGGTGCTGTTGTTCACATTGGATGGTTTTTGGATGGTAGCGATGATGAAGTTCACTTTGCTGCTTGCCCTGGGATCACTGGTGAGTGCTGGGTTCTACGATAAGTCCCCTGTGATGGAGCTAGACGCAACCAACTTTGATTCTGTTGTGCTTACAAATGACACGTCGATAGTGGAGTTTTACGCTCCATGGTGTGGACATTGCCGTAACTTACAGCCTGAGTATGTTAAAACCGGTAAGCATCTCCAGGACATTGCTGTTGTTGGTGCTGTGGACTGTGATAAGGCTAAGAATAAACCTCTCTGTTCCAAGTACAGGGTTGAAGGATTCCCAACATTGGTTGTTTTCAGACCACCAAAGGTTAACTTGGACAAGGCAAATGATAAGAAGTACATACATGCGACGGAGGTGTATCTTGGACCAAGAAAGGCCAAAGCAATGGTGGAATTTGTTACGAACCGGATGAAGAACTATACAAAGAGATTTGCGACGCTGACCAAGCTCTTCGAATGGGCACAGGTGGACTCAGGAAGAGTCAAGTGCGTTGTTCTCACACAGAAGGATAGACTAACTCCATTCCTGAAGAGCTTGGCCGTTGATTTCCTCGGTGCTGTGGATTTCAGCTATCTGCCTCTGAACAAGAACAAGGAGGAGGTGTACGAAGTATTCGAGATCGACCCGGACCATGAAAAGGCCGTCCTTGCAGTTTACCACGATGGTAAATGGACAAAGCACACTGGAGATATGTCAAAATCGAGCATCACCGAGTTCATCTCGCAATACGCTGACGTGGAGTCCATCGTTGAGCACAGAGAATACAAGAGAGCCATCTTGAAGGGTGAGAAGCCAAAGAAAAAAGGTGGCAAGAAGCAAAGAAAGCACAAACAAGCCCGTGATGAGCTATGATCAGACTCAATGGCTATATATAACCACACATAACTACACATAGTATGAGCACTACCATTAATAGATAATCGTGTATGAAATCCCCATCAACGTAGCTCTTGAGGTGGTGTCTGGATGTTGTGGGATTTTTCCCACTTTCCGCTTTCGTCGCAAAACGGTGAAGTTTTCAACACTTTTCCCAGTGCTCAATGAATGGAAACCACAACACCTCAATCTATTTGAAATAAGCCATGATCACCAAGTACTTCACCAAAGTTGTCATCAGATTCAATCCACTCGGTAAAGAAGGTGTGTAGTGCTTGTCCTCTATCTCTTGGAACTGGAATACTAACCCCTTGGAACAGGAAAGGCATCACGTCTCTTCCTCAGCTCGATCCCTCCTTCATTAAGAGGTGCTTGCGTCATCGACCATAAGGTCATCACAGACAACAAGACGAAGCCTATGCTTTCGGTGACTTTTAAGGATAAGCAGACCTTGGATGCTGATCCATCAACGATGACATTTGGCGAGATTAGTGCCATTATGGATAGACACTCCAGAGCACTACAGATCAAGGACAGCATCCAAGCATGATTCTGGGGAGCTTGTCAGAGGAATCTGGGCACTTGTCATGCTACCGGAGGGTTTGTTTCGCTATATGTATATATAATATCTGTAAATAAAAGGTTTGTTATTGGTTTCATGGTGAGAGAGCATAGAGATGTTGTAAAGACCAAAGTACATACTGAGTAGTCATACCTGATTATCTCACCAACTACAATGGCAGGCTAAATGTACTTCTCTCAGACTACCGAAGCACAGCTCCATGTGAGCGAAACCACCGTTTATGACATTTTATGCCTACGAGGGCTCCCATCCGTTGACTTCCTCGCAGGTGCTGCCCAGAACGATGAGCTCTGGGCTGTAACAACAGAAAAATTTATAGCCAGAAGAGATGGTATCTTTCTTGTGCGATTGTCCTAATATTGGAGTAGAAAAGCAGGTGAATCATGGCAAAGAAACATTTGGCGCCCCAGTTTTCTGATGATGAAGATGACGTCTCTGGGTACTTGGAAATGTCTGAACAAAGCAGTGACGACGAGCTTGAGACCCTCAGCTTTGGTGCGTTGAAGAGCGCACAGGCTGAACTGGAGAAGGAAGAGAAACAGAAGAAGAATAAGAAGAAGGCGAAATCAAAGGAGCAGAACAGTAAAAGGGAGAGTGTTCACATGTCTAGAGATGCTAGAAGACAACCTACAAAGTCCAGTAATAGAGAATATGACAGTGAAAGCGATGAATTTGAGAATGACGGGTTCAGTGATATGTCTGACGGCATGTTTGATGAAGAAGACGATGATGATGACTCCAGTAATGTGGGTAACAAGAAGAAGAAGAAGAAGAGTAAACACGCTCCCACGGAGACATCATCGAAGAGGAGAGTTTCTAAGATAAGACAGATTCCAGGACTTGAGAATCGCAAGAACGAGACATCACTCTACAGAGACATCAGATTCGATGCTGCCTTTGGTAAAGCTGATCTTAACAGAGTACGTAAGGATTACAAGTTCTTGGATGACTACAGACAACAGGAGGTTTCTGAGATTACGAAGATGCTGAAGGACCCAAAGATGCGTAATAAGCTGAGTCAAAGGGAGATTGAGGATTTGGAGTACCAATCCAAGTCATTAAGGTCGAGGCTAGACACTCTCAAGAATAGGGACTTGGAACAAGAGGTTGTGAAGAAGTATAAAGAAGAGAGAGGTATCAAGGGCAACTTCTTCCTCAAGAAGAGTGATAAGAGAAAGATTGTTCAAAAGCACAAGTTCGATAACATGAAGGCCAGTCAAAGAGAGAAAGTGGTGGAGAGAAAGAGAAAGAGAAGATTGGGTAAAGAGTTCAAACAGTTGGAATTCAACAGACCTAGAGATTGAGTATTATATAATATGAATACTTGTGTATAATATCACTGATGCATATGTTCAATATTAGAAAAGAAGATGGAAAACAAGCATTGTGGAATGTAGTAACGAGATGTAAGAGAATAACCGCAAAGGAGGTTTGTATATAGGTGTCTATCTCTTATCCATGGCGAATAACAGCGTCATCAAGCGAGCTTACTTCTCCTCTGACTTCTCACCGTCGTTCTTGGCTTCCTCCTCTGGCTTCTCTTGAGGTTGTTCATGAGAAGACCAGTCCTGATAAGAGCCGACGTAGTTTCCTAGTTTCTTGTATCCGAACATTTGGGCCAGATCTGCTGCTGCTGTGGATCTAACACCGGCAAGGCAGTAAAAGATCAACTCTTTATCCTTTGAAGGCTTCTTGAACTTGAATGCCTCCTCAAACTCTTCAGGCGAGAGGTCCAATGCACCCGGAGTGGACTTGTATGGAATGTTAATGGCTCCTGGAATGGATCCTGCTTGGTATTCAGCCGGCTCTCTGACATCTACGATGATCTTGTCCTCTTGCGGGTGCTCGGTCAAATCCTTGATCTGTTGATAGTCATAAACCTTTGGTGGCTCCTCCTGGCTGATGGTTGGGCGGTGTGGCTCCTCAGCCTTTGTGGAGTTGAATCTCACCCCAATACTCGCAACCCTTGATGAGCCGCTCTTCACCACATGGGCGGAGGTGGTGGTAAACAAGGCATTGCGCACCACAGAGGATGAAGCACAGGCAAGACGAGAGGCCAGTGCAAGACGTGGAGTGGCCCTTAAGAGAGCTCTAGCGGAGTGTGACATTGCAGCAGATGGGCAGAAGTATCACGGAAGCAGGCACAATTGGGGAACAACGCTAGTACAGGCTCCGCTCGTTAGCATCAACTAACGTTTGTTGTAGATTTGTTTTGCCATTTCCCGTTGCGAACTGCCACCGCTAAACCCAAAGGGGAAAGTTTCCAAAGTGAAGTTCTGCTACAAGCCGTTGACTACCCAATCGGGAAACATAAACACGCCTCGCTTAGGTATACATGCCTTTCCTTTGCAATTCCCGCTTCGGGAAGTCTACAACGATCACCCAATAGGATCTTCGGATTTTCCTCCTCTTTTTTCAATAAGGCCATTTTGGCTAACCGGCTCGAACACACACAGTTTCCACGGTGTTTTCGCCTACAGATGGGCAGCACCGGTGGGCCGTAAGCTACGTAGCGCGTGTTGAATCTGTAGAAAATTCCCCTTCTTCCCTCTTCAGTTTTACACAGTTTCAACTGCCTTTTCAGATCTACATAACAAGACAAAACAATGTACGCCACTCCAGTTAGAGCCTTCTCCAAGTCCGCCGTCAGAATGAACGCTGCCGGTAACACCCCAGCCTCCAAGTGGTTCGGTGCCTTTGGTGGTGTCGCTGTTCTCCTTGGTATCTTTGCCTTTGGTTTCGACAAGTTGGGCTTGCAAGACAACATCAAGCACAGTTTCAACAAGACCGGTATCAACACCAAGAAGGACGAGTAAGCCGAGTGCTCCCGTGTCCTGTGCTAATACGATGCTGCATTGATTCAATTCAAAGGTGATGTGTGTTGTGCCCTGAGGTGCCCTTTTGGCAGTTCCATACTGAAAGGGGAGTTTTTCTATATACAGATGTACCTATATAAGGAAAAGGAAACCCACAAAAAAATTGTTTTGATATTCACTATATTTATATTCTTATAAACTCTACACAAGGACCAATGTAGCTGGCAAGATGATGCATGTATGATGTGTTTATTCGATGTTCCAGAAGCATGGGGTTTGCTTTATTTCTGGTAGACCGACGTCGTGCCACCCGATGAGCCCACCAAATAGCTTACCTAACTTGATTTTTTTGGCGGGGGGGGGGAGAGAAATGGACTGATTTCTAGATGGTTCGAGATACGAAGATCATCAGATACTGGATTAGGCAGATTAAGAAGCCACACACGTCACAGTGCTCTTTGGAATGTATTGAGTATATGCCAGAAATCATCCGATTGTGCCTCTCCCACTATGTGACATTCATGGCCCACGCTCGCTGCTACTGGTTTCGCTCATAGACCTTGCATTCCCTTGATCACCTCACTATGCTGCTCCTTCTCCTGCTTCAACTGCGACAGTGAACCAAGCGTTCTCAGATCGCCGATAATGTCACTGGTCTTGTCAAAGTACACTTGCTGCAATAAGTTTCTCAATTTACTCTCAACGTCCTCCACAAGCGAACCAATGTTGACGATGTGTCCATACAAATCACCCTTTTCAACCTCACCAATCTTTTCATTTTGTCTGATCAAGTTACCGCTCAGCTTGACACGGTTCTCCTTGGACACTTTGGTGAGGTCAAGGATGATCGTAGATGTAGCCTTGTACAGGTACTTTGTGGAGCTCTTCTTTTCAACTTCCAACACGTGGATACTGTCCCAAAGACCTTGGTTATCCTCTGTGGATTTCTTGAAGAGCGCAACACCGGCAAATCCGCTCTCAACAGAGTCGTCTTGATCCCACAGATAAACACTGGAGATACCTCCTTCGTAGTACAGATCTCTATAGATGTCAACGGCATCGTTCAGCTTCACCTCCAATTCTCTAAGCGCTGCAGAGGGATACGGAGAGTCATCATCGTCCAACTGAGGGTAGTACTTGTTGGACCACGGGGATCTGAAAGAGTCCAAGTCTCGGTTGTAATCACAAGTCAGGAAAGGCTTGCCGTTGGTAGGGTCCTTTGCAATGCTCAATGGCACGTCAACTGTGGAGAGTAAGTCCTCCGCAAGATCTGGGTTCAAATGGATGATCTTCTCCAAGTTCTCCGTGATGTTCTGGGGGTTCAATCTTCTCAGCAAATCAAGGGCAGCGTCGTACGACTTGTGCACCAATTGTCAGTAGAAGCATCGACCAAACCAATTGGCAATACACTCACCATCTTCGGTACCAATTTCACAAACCAAAAACACAGCAGTAAATTCTAAACGAGATGAATCCTTCTTTTAAAGGAGAATAACGAGATGGTATTCGGGAACGAAATTTGGTGTGTGCGTGTGTGTGTGTGCGCGCGGGTGGAAAGATTCGTTCCTCTTCTCCCTTCCACCAAAATGCTCGTTGCGACTCCACGTTCTTCAGTCAGTAACAAACAACACTGAGCAACCGCCCACCTAACAAGAAACCATGGTTGACATCGCTTCATTTGGCAGCTGGATCCCGCAATTGCCAGGTATCTTACCAAAATGGCTGCTGTTCATCTCAGTTGTGTCCATATTCAACTCCTTCCAGTGTTACACCTCGGGCCTGGCTCTTACTCAAAGAGTCTATGAGAACAAACCACAGGAGGTTACACCGCTCTCTGCTAGAACCTTTGGTACTTGGACGTTGATCTCGAGTGTCATCAGATTCTACGGTGCTTACTACTTGAACGTTCCCCAAGTTTATCAAATCACCTTTGCCAGTTATTCCATTGCGTTCATACACTTTGGTCTGGAGTGGTTTGTTTACAAGACCGCCAAACTTGGTAAGGGCCTTGCAGGTCCACTCGTCGTCTCCACGATGACTCTTGTCTGGATGTGGAACCAGTGGGACTACTACACTTCATTGTAAATATGTAAATAGCAGAACTATATCACGTTAAGGAAATGCAGATGAAATATGAATGAAATGCAATATGTAAAACACTGGAATCGAATGTCAAAGGATCAATTCCTTTCACTGTTTGGTGGGAAGAACCAGGTATAAACGTCATATGTGGAGCCACACAAACAAAGGATTGTCCACAGAACGGACATGGCACCGTATATACTTGCGATTACGCTGAACGTTGTCCATCCCGTTAGTTCGCCAGTGACTCTCGTGGCATGGTGCATTGTTCCCAGAGGGAACGTCATTGCCCAGAAGCCATAGTGGAACTTATGTTTGCCATACGACAAAACAGATGCAAATGCGAAGAATGTCAAGAAGAAACCAGCAGATTCCAGGAAGAGAGCTGCTAGTACACAAACCCAGTGTAATAGCTGTGCAACTTGAGCATCGTCAACCTGAGTTTCCAGCGTGTAATTGTAAAAGTTAACACCACACAGTTGAACTGCAAACGCACCTTGTCCCAGAAATCCAATTGGAATAAAAGACGTGAAGATGGCACCCTTTGCAGGGAATCTGTAAAACAAGAGCCTATACGTATAGATTGTGAGAAAGATAAAGCTCACAGTCATTGCATTTGCCCATAGTAGAAAACATAGAATTGTGGTGGAGAGTTTCAAGCTCTCTGGTAAGCTAGGGACGATGTTCCCGCCACAAGAGGCTGTCACGGTGAGAGAAACCAAGGGTAGGAGCAGAGTGACTGACAGTTCGCTTATCTTCACAGTGGACCTCTGCATGAAGAAGAAGGGTATTACCCATGCTGTATATAGGGAAGCAATGTTTGAGATCCACCACAGGACGTAGAAGAATATTGGTGCTCTGCCGTCACAGATGCTATGGAGTGCGATGACCCAGGAGGAGAACCCCATTGCGAGGCATCCCATGAATGGAGCATTTGATGGATGGAATGTAAACTCAGATCTCATATCGGGGTATCTGATAAGCGTGTTGACAAAATGCAGCATTGTCATCAAAAGGCATAGCGAACAGAACCCAAACATCACATGTCCACAGATCTTGAGCCAGTGTGACGGGTATGCAAAGTTGAGTAGGATTGTTGAGGCCATACCAGTGCCCATAATGGTGATAAACCAAGGTGCTCTAAATGGCTCTCGACATGCATCAAAGATGGTTTTTCTCTGTTGTTGTCCTTTCTCTTCTTCAAGTGACAGAATCACGGTTTCGCTACAACTATCATTCTCATCAGATGTCATGATCGTTGTTTGTAGGCTACTGTCTGCGTGTATTAGGATGAAGTGCAACGTCCCAACTGTTTTATATAACTTGAAGAGTCATCAACGACGAGTCATTGCGACCTACAGTTGATCACTGATGCCGTCATCGTGGTTTGAAAAGTCTTCTTCACGGCAATTTCGAAAGCCCATTACCCACGGGCTGTGTCTACAACAGTGATTCAAACTCCGCCATGCCATACTAAAGCGGAAAAAGAGTCGGGCTTGTACTGTGCCGTTTCTACTTTCCAAAGCCCGTCATTTGGTGTTTGGATGTGAATCATGTGATGAAACACGTGAGCGTGCACGTGATACTACGTGACTGTGCCCCCTTATCACATTTTAGTACCGGTATCAGGTGTGTTGTTTCCATTAGTGCTTGTAGTTTTAGCGTGATGACAGTAGGAAAGAGTAACACCAATGACTCAGGCAATCACACCTAATACCGACCCTTCAGTGACGAGATTCTTCTTCATCAGACATGGCCAAACAGACCACAATGTCAAGAAGATCCTTCAAGGCCATTTGAACACAGATTTGAATAGCGAAGGACACCAACAGGCTGTCAAGCTAGCAGCTGCCCTCAGGTCATTCCCTTTCGAAAGGATCTACTCATCTGATCTGAAGAGGTGCCAGGATACTGCCAATACATTGGCAAATGGTCTTGATTCTCCACAGAAAATCATCTTCACCCCGGAGCTGAGAGAGAGACACATGGGAGTAATCCAAGGAATGCACATTGATGATGCGATTGCACACGGTGAGAAACACGGTAAACACTATAGAGAGTTTGGTGAAACCACAGACGAGTTCACAAACAGACTCTCAGCTTATATCGAAACTTTGAAACAAGACACCAAGGGACTGAAGAACGTTGCCGTTGTTAGTCATGGTGGTACCATTAGAGCCGTGTTGAAGCTCTGCGGTAAAACTGAAGGTGTCGTCTACAACACGAGTGTCACCGTGATAGATTTGAAAGATGATAAATGGGACATCCGTGTTGTTAGTAACACTGACCACTTAGGCGCACAGTTGCACGTCACAGATCAAAGAGTTAGATGATAAAGGCTGCGATTGTGCAAAATTTATATACACTTGATACACATATACATGATGAGTAGGATAAAACGGGAAACATACTAAACTTACAGCTCAGCAAACCAGCTAATTACAACTAATGGATTTAGTAAGAAACGGAGTAAATACGATTAAGAGAAATCAAAACATGAAACCTTTTAATTTTGTGTTTGGATAAAGAACTTAAGCCTTCAAAGAAGAGGCTCTTCTCTTTCTAACCTCAGCTCTCTCAGCCTTACGCTCGTGCAAACGTTGAGCCAACAAGTGAGCGTACTCAGCAGCAGCATCTCTTTGGGCTTGAGCGTTTCTGATCTTCAAAGCCTTCAAGTGTCTCTTTCTTTGCAAAGTTTGTGGAGTAACCAATCTTTGGATCTTTGGAGCCTTGGTGTACTTCTTCTCACCCTTGACAACCTCTCTTCTGATGACGTATTGTCTAACATCATCCTCCTTGGTCAAACCAAAGAACTTTCTGATGTTGTTGGCTCTCTTAGGACCCAATCTCTTTGGAACTTGGGTGTCAGTCAAACCCTCAAGCTCAGCATCACCTTGCTTGACAATGACAAGGGACAAAACAGCAAGATCTTGACCGACAATGGCACCTCTGACGGACTTTCTCTTTCTCTCACCGTTTCTTCTTGGTCTGTAACAAGAGTGACCCTTAGCGAGCAACAACTTGACACGGTTTGGCAACAAGACACCTTGCTTCATTGGGAAACCTTGCTTGTCGTTACCACCAGAGATCTTGAAGACGTAACCCTTGAACTCGTCACCGACAGAGTCACCCTCGACTTCTTGACCAATTCTCTTCTCGTAGAAGACACGCAAACGGTGGTCATCATCGATGTCATAGGTCTTTTGGGACCCGTTGGCTGGGTAGGCAATGTTCAACTAGAAC